ATCATCCTCTTTCTTTGTCTAACATAACTTACTGAATGACCATTCATAAATAATAAAATAATAATGCAATGTTAATTTCTAAATCAAAACCGAACATTAAGATACGACAACGAGATTCCTCTTCAATATCAAAAAGCCGTTTATATTTTATATCTAATTACAAAATCCATAAAGCGACAATATTAAGCTATTTGAAAAGTATCAAAATCTTTATTGCCATCTATAAAATGTTAGCGTTTCTCAAAGTATACATTACAGATACAGATACGATGTTAGACCTAAGCAAGATCGTTGTCGAAATGGTCCTTATGGTTTTACGATTTAAGGACCATAAAAATAATAGCACCTATATCTTATAATGCCATTCTGATTCTATGAAACGTGATAATAACTGTAAATTGTATTGATGTTTTTAAGGAATACTTACCAAAGATAGATTTTCTGATTGAAGTGAGGTTGCTGAACTGGTGTGATGAGTGTGACGTTTAAAAAAATCCAGTGTTTCAATATAATTATATTTATTTCATGAGAAACAATGTGATGTTTTGGATCGCCCCTTTCTATTGCTTTTTATTTTTATTTTTTTGTAGTCATAAGTGTACCGATGGATATAGGTCCTTGTAATAGTACCTAAACCTTGGTTACGCAACTTATGTTATAGCAGTCTTAATTTTGGCGAAACTTTGGCTTCGTACACCAAAGTTACGTGTGTTGAAGAACCCTTCAAAATATCTTGACATTTGACAATGGTTCCCATGCGGACACGCACTTATTAAGCTTATCTCTGCATTAAGTTAATGTGCTCTTTATATTCATCGTAGTTTTGAAGTAGTAGCAAATAAAGTTGACTATTTTATACCTAATTTAAAAGATTTCATTACATATTTACTAAGTTAAACAAGCATGTTCTATATATTAAAGTTAGATAGAAGACATTTAGGCCCTACATTGCCAATTTTTCAACCTATGGAGGTACATCTATTACTTTATCGTAAAATTAATCTAAATATGTCTTTAAACAACCAAAAACAATACAGAAAACTAAAATTTTAAACACAGTCAGTGTTCAAACAGTTCACGTTCAGAATCCAGACAGAAAAGAACAAAATGTATCAGTTTAAAACTGTTGATATGATAACATATTCCCAGTAGTGTCGTCACGTCACGACGTCGTCGTCGCCTCGTCGCGTACGTCATGCGCGGAATACAAATCTCTACATTACATTGTTCTGTTGTGCAAGTGAATTTGTAAATGTATGGACACAAACTATGTATATGAAGGGTGTTATTTTAACATCACTCGATATTAAATTAAGTAAAAACGCGGGTTACTCACGTGAATATACTGAGAAAAGCTCTACTAGTTTCGAACCACAGAAGGGTTCTTCCTCATGAGCAGCGTGCAGTATATTCACGTGAGTAACCCGCGTTTTTACTTAATTTAGTATGTCTCACGATAGTTATTATAAAAATCACTCGATATTGAAGTCACACAATAGTTAAAATATTTCCGACAACGTTTCAATTAAGTATTGTTTTAACGAGTTTTACTTATGCACAAATAAATGATATCGGATTTTTTTTATATATATCCGAAAATTCTCAGTTTTAAATAGCAGTCTCGAATTAAGTCCAGTGTAGAGGAGCGACCTTTCTTCTTTTTTAAATTGAAGTCTCGATGTAGTCTGTGAAACTCTGCAGAGAGGTTCATTCTGAGAATTAAATGTTACATCATTTAGAGTCTGTTTCCCAATTTCAAAGACTGCTATCGACAAATCAATCAAAAATAATGCTAGTGTAGGAGAGCCATGTTTCGGCACAAATAGGCCGGCTCGACCGCAGTGATACCACGGCCTCACAGAAACACGACATGAAACAACGCTTGTGTTTCGTCGTAAGATTACCGGAGTCACAATTAACCTCCCCCTCCCAGACATTCAATCCCCGAATCCTCCACAATCCTCAAATTCCTAATTCTCAAAAGGCCGGTGACGCACTTGTAACGCCTTGGTGTTCCAGGTGTCCATGGGTGACGCCGATTGCTTACCATCAGGCGATATGTCTGCTCGTTTACCTGCTCAAAATTAACGAGTGACACAAGAATAGGAACTAAATTAACACATTACAAGGGTGTAGGGTAAGATCGGTCTCTAAACGTGTCGAGTCTCTAAACATGGCGCCGTTTAAGTGTTAGACCCAAGGATTTGAGCCTCTACAAACTATATCGGAATTAGTTTGCCAAGTATCAATGTTTGAAAAGGGCTCTACTTTGATAGTTACGTATTGGAAGTGTCTTGACATAACCTGATCGCTCCTTAGGTATTGTATAATGTATATATCCTCCTTAGACACTTATATTGAACTACCTAGAAAGTTCTGTAAAAAAACTATAACACATAATAAATACTAGCTTCTGCCCGCGACTTCGTACGCGCAATCCCATTTTCCCCCCGTTCCCGTTCGTGATTTTCGGTAAAAAGTAAAAAAAAGTATTTATAAAAAGTATCCTATGTCTGTCTCCTGGTTCTAAGCTACCTCCCTGCCAATTTTCATCTAAATCGATTGAGGCGTTCTTGAGTTATAAATAGTGTAACTAACACGACTTTCTTTTATATATATAGATATCTATCTGCTAGTAGCTTCGCCCGCGGTCCTGTGGGTCCGTTCCCTATAACCTACCCGTGTTCCACATTTCATCCCAATCCCATCAGCCGTTTTGAAGTAAAAGAATAACAAACACACACACACACACACACACACACACACACACAAACACAAACATCCTCACAAAGTTTCGCATTTATAATATTAGTAGGATATTGAAACTAAGAGAAAGAAAATATTTTAACTAAAATCGAAATATATCAATTAAATATGTAACTGGCGAGAAAAAACAAGTAATATTAGGTACCTGTAACATGGCGGAACATTTTGAAAAAGATTCTTAATTGTCTAAATCTACTATGTATATAAAAATAAGTCGGGTTTTCCTTCCTGACGCTATTACTCCAGAACGCACGAACCGATTTCCACGGTTTTGCATTCGTTGGGAAGGTTTCGGGCTCCGTGAGGTTAATAAAATTTTAATCCAAAAAAAATGTTTCTTCATCTTTTAATCACCAAACGAAATACTACATAAAACGAAGCTGGTCTGGTGAATCTGGTGGCGAAACGGAGTTCGCCGGGTTTGGTAGTACTGACTAAATAAATTAAGTTAATATATAAATAACAATTATTAATAATTCATGTTGATAATCGTGTTAGTACAAAGTCCATAAAATATTGTATTATTCAGTTTTTTTTTTATTTTACATGTTAAATGCTCAAAAACCACTAATCGGATTTTGTTTGGTGAATAATAATAAACATTGGTCAAAGTTCTACTTGAAGCCAACTCAATATAACATTACGTCTTATTTTAATATCAGTTACTTTTTATATGCAATTTTAAACCTTTTTATGCCTACTTTTAAAGTGTTTTTTTAAGGGGGAAAATCATCGAATGACTTCTCCCGCCTGGGTGAGGCGAGAGGGAGTGTCAGACTCTTACTGACTAAAAACCACCCCGTTCCTACTCCTGCACTTCGAGCCGGAGCCCCGGTAACCCGTTAGGTTCTCCGCGGCTCACTTTTAAAGAGTAAGAGAGCTATACTGCAGAATTAATGTGGCAACCGGAGTGCTACCTTTTTACCAAAAGTATAAAAAAGGGGTAAGCTAAATAAGCCATTAAACTGTCAAACACCGAGCGGTCACCGGTGACCGCAACCTATTGTTCTTTAATTGTGTCTATAATGACGGTACTCAACGAGTTAAGATACTGTTTTCTCACTGTTTATTTTATATCTTATACTATTATATAAAGCGGAAGTTGAAGCGGAGTTTGTTTGTTTGGTTTTTGTTTGAAAGCGCTAATATCCGTAACTACAAGTCTGATTTGAATAATTCTTTCTGTGTTGGAAGCGCATTTATCGAGGATGGCTATAGGCTATAAAACATCACGCTACGACCAATAGGAGCTGAGCAGAGCGTGTGAAACCGCGCGGAAGTAGCTAGTTCTACCATATATTATCTGCTCCCACTACTACAAACTGGTTCATTAACAAAGTACATAATAAGCTACTACGCTCAACTCACCTCGAATACTACCTACCTATGAATGATTAAATAATGACACATGCATTCTCCATGTATTAGACTGCATAGTGAAGTAAATGTAGGTTGTTTGCCGTAAACTGTGAAGTAAACTACCATTTATGTTGTAAACACAGATTACTAGGAATGCTTGTCACTTAAAATACTTAGGTACGCTATTTTTACCTAGTCATGCTAGACTTTGAACCCAATTAATGCAGGAATTGGTATGAATGGGCGCATAACCGCATTTTCAGGGAGCACTAAACACATTCTGATGTAACATCATACTTTATTATTCGCCATAAGTAAGAAAATCTTACTTATTTTCCTAACACGAATATCACACTTGTTAATACTCAGTGGTTTCAAAGAAATAAACCAAGTACTTTACTATTAACCCGTGGTATATCGTGGTGGCCGGGAGGTTTAAGACGCCCGCTTCTCATGCATGAGGGTGCGGGTTCGAAACCTACCAACGGCAAGTACCAATATGACTTTGTCGAAGCTATATGTACTTTCTAAGATTAAATAGACACCACTGACAAACAGTGAAGGAAAACATCATGAGGAAATCTGGGCTTATAATTTCTAATTATAAGTTTGTAATCACCAACCCGCATTGAGCAAGCGTGGCGATAATGCTTAAACCTACTCCGTGTGAGAAGAGGCATAAGAGATTTAAATATTCGGTCTCTGAAACTAACTTAAAATGAAAACTCATTTGTCTTAAAATTCATTTATTCCTTCCCATATTACAAAATAACGTACATTGTACTATATTGACTCAACACACATGTAAGTACAAAAATATAAATCTAGACTTAACCTAAGTACTATTCACAGCACAACACATAGGTAATATCACATTACTTTCTCGGCATAAACTTCACTTGGACTCCATTTTTGGACCTCAGAACTAGATCAGCACTCAACTCTGGTTCCTGGGCTGCTGGTAGTATGTAGAAGTGCTTGATAATCTCCGAGATAGTGATCTTCAGTTCCATCATCGCGAACTTTTGACCTGAGAAAGAATACCAGTTGGTAAATTAAATAGAACTTCATTAACGATTTAACAAGAACTTTTTAACCACCTCGTTGAACTGTAAATAATCAACCTAATGTAATCACGAATAATTGACTGCACGGTTGGTGCGGTGGCTGGACAACCGGCTGCCGTGCAACGTGTCGCGGGTTGGATTCCCGCACGGAACAACACTTTGTGTGATCAACGAATTGTTGTTTCGGGTCTGGGTGTGATGGGTATGTGAACTTGTATGTCACAGGAGAAAATCCTAGTGTGGGGCAACGTTTTAAAAAAAAAAAAATCTTAATTTTGACTGAAACAAAGAGTTTCTTTTTTTGAAAAAATATATTTTTTATGGATTGTCAGTATTCATATGTGAACACCATGTTAGACTATACAAAGACTTTTTTCTTTTTTTTTTGTTATATTTTATTCTATTTTTTTATTAAAATGTATTTTATTTTATTTTACAATTCTAGGAAAACTTACAGCTAGGTTTAATATAAGCAATTATTTTAGTATTAGTCTTGTAATTTTTATAATGCGTCAAGCGTGTCTTTACATTGTTCTCACATATGCATAAAATATTGGATAATGTATTAGAGAGAGAGAGAATGGACTTTGTTACTCTTTCTTATTCATCCAAATCTACATTTTGGAATGAGCACCTAGCTTCACTGAAGGACAGACTGACAGACTATTATTTAATTTGGTATTAGTTGATGTTTCGAAAGTACCAAATTATAGTTTAATTGAACTACATGCTTTGACTTTGACTGTTATAAAACTTAGCAGTTATAAATACTATAAAAATCTGTCACTTAAATCTTTATAGGTTCACATTTAACTTCCGTAGCTGCATTATGGATAATTATATTTTATTATGTTCGTTGTTATAAACATATTACGGTATTATTACTGCCGGAAAATGGGCATAAAATTACTGCAATTAGGACTCGGTACTTGATCTTATAAACAACACACAAACTATATACATATATACTAGCTTTTACCCGCGGCTTCGCTCGCGTCACAAAAGGATAAAAAGTAGCCTATGTGAAATATACCAATACATACAGCGCCATCTATACCAATACTTTTGTTTTCCCTTGGGAATATAAATTTTTTCGGGATAAAAAGTACTATTATTTAATCCAGACTACTAACTTTACGTCTGCAAAAATTAAATGCAATCGGTTTAGTAGTTACGGCGTGAAATCGGAACAAACAAACAAACTCACTTTCCGATTTATAATATTAGTAAGGATATTATTGTATAAAATATTTTTCCAAACACAAAAATTCATAACGCAGAACAATTTTGTTGTAGTTAATTTTAAATAGATGGCGTTACTCTGTGGTTTTAATATGTAAATGAAGCATTCAGTATCAGACTAATTTCGTTGAACAATAGCAAAGAATATACTTTTAGAAATACTACAATGGAATATACTATTACAAGCCTATGCCGTTATAGTTTGTTAGAACCTATTGTATCAGTTACTTTGGTATTCAATTCGATACTTATAAAGTGTTATGATAGTCATTTTATCAATAGAACAGTTACTATTGTTGATAGTATTTTGATAGCACCTAATAAGTTAAGTGTGGGCGAGCCATGCTTCGGCACGAATGGGCCGGCTCGACCGGAGTGATACCACGGCCTCACAGAAAACCGACGTGAAACAACATTGTGTTGTGTTTCGTCGTGTGAGTGAGGTTACCGGAGGCCCAATTACCGCCCTACCCCAATCTCCCCAATCCCTGAATCCCCAACAATCCTTCCATTCCTAATCCTTAAAAGGCCAGTAACGCACTTGTAACGCCTCTGGTGCTCCAGGTGTCTATGAGCGACGCCGATTGCTTACTATCAGATGATCCGTCTGCTTGTTTATCGGCCATATGACTTGCATCCTTTTTCATAATATATCTAGCATACAAAATTAACAATAGTCCTTACCAATACAATTCCTAGGACCAGCACTAAACGCCAGCCAGCTGAAGGGGTTTTTCAGGGGAGCCTCAAATCTTTCAGGACGGAACTCCAAAGGATCATCATACAAATCTGGCTGCCGCTGGATCTGGTAGATATTCATCACTACTGAAGTACCTTTCAATAGTTTCAAACCTCCCACCTCTGAAATATTAACAAAATAATGATTTTTAATGCTTTGAATGTGTAGTTGGTGTAGTACCTAAGTTACGCATCATAGCGCGAATTCAACTACCCCACATATCTATATTTTTTGTGTGACCCATAAATTGTTATTTTGGACCAGGGCGCTTACTCTTGAAACCAATCTCAATGTCAATGCAATTACAATGTCAAAATTTAAGTCAAAACTATACAACCCCTATCGTATTTGTTAAAATAGCATTCAGATGTCTGCATGGGTGGCGCGGTGGCTGGGCAACTGGCTACCGCGTAGCAGGTTCGTGTGATCCACACACAAAAAGAGTGTACGGAATATAAAGCCAAACTCAATACCATTTAGTTCATTAAATATCCACGCAATACGGATGTAATGGGCGCTAGGGTTGCAACTCGAGAGTACGTAATTTCACAATACCAATGTCGATCGATCGGTATTGGATTCAAGAGTAACTGAGATCCAGGGAGGGGCCCTGGATCTCAGTTTAATATATATTTGAATTGTATCAAATTATGTATCTATTCGTAAAAGCTCCCATGAAACACTGCCAGCGTAGGGCAACATGTTAAAAATGCAATTATAATCTATTCCTTAGTCGAAAGGTCGCGTTGCAGGAGTAACATTTAGTCGATGGATAAATGCAATTATAATTATGTAGGTATGGCTATGTTATATAACAATGTTAATTACAAGTTTTTATATTAAGTGACAACATTATCGCATTGGGTGTAACCTGTTAGAATGTCTTAAATTAAATAAATAAATAAAAATAAATTAAATAAATAAATAAACAGTTTAAAATTTATTACGCTCTAACACAAGGTTTTCGTACGCCAGAATGACTAAGCGAATATTAATGAAAAACAAATAATAATAATTAATTATAAACGCAAATATTACTATTCACCTTGGTATTGATCTTGTAAATACATAATATTATTACTTATTTATAAATGTCAAGGTTGACCAGTTTCTAGTTAATATAATGTATGTAAAGACAAGTAAAGACATAGTACACTAACCTGCTTCTTTAATAGATTGTCAACTTTAATTTCTACAGTATAAGATTCAATCCTTATTAAATAAAACTGAATTTGACAACTTGATGGGCTGGGTACGTAAGAAGCAGGTACATGATATCAACAAAATCAAAAGGATCAAGAAGATGTACAAAAAATATGCAAGTAAAAACTTCAAGTGTACGAACGGGATTCCATATTGTTTTTATTACATACTTTTTGTCTTGATTCGAAATTAGTAAAAAAACACGTGAACATATTGCTAATAATACAACATAACATCAAGGGGTAGGCAGAGGTGCACACTACAGTACTTAATGCCACTCCACAATGTTACACCCACTTTTCACTATTTATGTTATAAATCTCATGTAATCCCTATTACATGAGATTTATATGGCAATAGGCTCACCCCCTGGTGAGCCTATTGCCATATACCGGGCACAATTCCAGACTTTATGTTAACACTGAGATTTTTTTTAAAACCCAGTATTACTTTGGTCGACCCGGGAATTGAACCCGAGCCCGGCAGTCGCATTTGCGACCACTCGGCCAACAAGGCAGTCTGCTGCTAATAATGTAATTAAAAAATTCTTGAATCGTGATTATTGATTAGTTTTTGTCAATATTTAGGAAACATAATAAAAGCAACAAAATCAAAGTAAATCTAAAACTATAAAACCACTATTTAGTGATAAGGGCTCTTTGTAACTTTTTAATTACTATAATTAAATAGTGCATGCTTACCACAATCCTTCATGATTCTTCTCTCAATCAGAGGCACAGGCGGGAACAGCCGCATCGACTCCTTGAGGACCAGCTCCAAGTATTTCATTTGTGCAAGCTCACTAGATAACAAAATTATTATTAAGTTTTTTAAAATATTTTCAGTAATACCACGGAGTCTGGAATTGTGCCCGGTATATTGCAATAGGCTCACCCCCTATTACATGGGACTCATAACATAAATAGTAAAAAAGTGGGTGTTACATTGTACAGTGGTATAATGTGCACCTCTACCACTTCGGGGATAAAAGGCGTTATGTTGTTAAAAAAATCTGACTAGCTTTTTCTATTGGTTTTATTAATAAGGCACCTCCTTAAAAAATCCTCTGATTAAACAGAGTATATTAAAATATTTATGTGCTCAACTACAATCTCAACTTCAATATTACCACATGATGAGCAAAATTCTCCTGTACACTGAGAATTTCATAAATCGAAACCTGTTGTTTATACATAATATAGTTACATCAAATGAACCCATGCCATCTAGTGAGTAACAGATGTAACTTTCTTCTGTTTTACTTTTTTGTGAATGTACTATATTGATTATGTTCATTGTTTATTCATTTGTTTAAATTCATTCCTTTTTTGAAATAAATCATTCCTTTTCTATTCGTATCGCAAGCAGCACAAGTCGTTTTATTTAATTTTATAAAACTTAATTGTGTTTTTCAAGGTTTTTCAACATACCGGAGCTACGGACAACCTAACTGGTTACCGGAGCTCCGTCTCAAAGCAGAATTGGGGTGATTTTTAGTCAGTAAGCGACTGACATTCTCTCACCTCGCCCAAAGCGAGAGAAGTCATTTAATATGAAATTCGTGATTTAACTGAGGAAAAAAATATGCAACAGTCTGCCTCTGCCTATCCCTTCAGTGAAATTAAGGCCTGATAGTAAATTATAACTATACTTAATTATAAATTCAGCAACGTAAGTTTAATAATATTTTTTTAGAGCCAGAGTAATAAAAACTCCAACTGTCCCTAATTAAGAATTATTATCATTCAAAGTACTAAGTAATAAAAATGTTTTAATATCATTCTGTAAGACTTGAGGCAATTTTAGTCTTGCCCGTTTCGTTTCGGTAGTGATTTAGTTAAAAAAATATCGAGCTACGTAAATTATAATTTACGTACTATGTAAGCACTTCTTGTGTTTCTTTTCAGGTTCCTTTGCCTCAGGTAGTTTTTAATTAAAAAATGTTATAAAAGGTTTAGGGCTTTTCATTGTTAATCACGAGAATCTGTCCAGCCATTTATAAGTTTTAACAACCCTAAGAATTTTTGATGGACAGGCTGCTCTTACTTACTTATAACCACCCCGTTCCTACTTCTGCTCTTCGAGCCGGAGCCTCAGCAACGCGTTAAATCCTCTACGGCTCCGTAAGGTCAGTATCTTAGCTTAGGCGTTTCTTTACTTTTAGTTCTTTAGTTACCTGTCTTATTATCAGTCAAAAAGCATTCATCCTTACTAATATTATAAATCGGAAGGTATTGAGTTTGTTTGTTTGTTCCGCTTTCACGCCGTAACTACTAAATCGCTTGCTTTGAATTTTTGCAGACGTAAAGTTAGAAGTCCGAATTAAATAATAGGATACTTTTTATCACGGAAAAAATGTGATATTCTCGAGGGAAAACAAAAGTATTGGTATAGATGGCGCGATGTTATTACGTCACAGGCTACTTTTTTCCTTTTGTGACGCGAGCGAAGCCGCGGGTAAAAGCTAGTTGCTGAATATGGGCCTACTCCTAAAAGTCATTACTTTTACCACATAGACATTCTAAAACATCTTCGGTAATGACCACTTCTATCATAAAATTCAACAATTTACATGACATGGTTACTTTAAATGAATTTAACACACTAGATCATGAAGAGAGACAAAGTTTACAATTTATGGTGCACTGCGCTCACTATTGTCGGCTGCATCCAACTTTATGGGCCAAGTTTAAGTGCACCTACTCTACCCTGCCTTCTAATGATAGTTGCTTTAACTCATAACTAGGTGCCTCTTAAGTATTTAAACTTTATCTGTGAGAGATTTGAATTTACATTTGCATGATAATGTAGTTTAAGGGTTGTATTAAACATTTCTACAGACAGGAGCACAAAACTGTAGTTTGAATTCGATTTTACTTGTAGACTACCTCGTTTTTTTTTTTTTTTTTTTTTTTTTTTTTTTTTTTTTTTTTTTTTTTTTTTTTTTTAAATTTTCCTGTGAGTGAGTTAGTTGATTTTATTAACGGTATTTATGAACCTGTACGAACAGGTTTTAACAATGGACCAATTACAGCAACTTAACGCTATTATGAAACTAAACAAAGCTAAGGTGGAACATCTAATTAAGAAAACAAAGTTGTAAAATTCTAAGAAAAAACATCATTTCATCATCAGTCAACATGCGATCAGTGCACGTAATTAATAGGTCCGTGTATTCAGTGATAATACCTAGGTCAGGGGCGTAGCTAGCGCCGTTTCTGCCGTATCAATTATATGGGGCCCCGGACTACGGGGGCCCCCAACGTGTGTAAGCAACAATATAAAAACTTCTTAATTTATATTTTATTTCAATAATCACAAAATGTGTTTAAAGGTTGGCAGAAACCATGGAATAGAGAAATCTATATGTATAGAGGTAGTAGAGAAATGTATTCCATGGCAGAAACTTTGGAAAAACTAAAGTAATCATTGTCCGATAATTTGGGCAGAGGGAGCTACAATATTATGTAAATAAATGTTATAATATTATGTAAAAGTAAATGTCTTCTGAGAAATACCTCTTATAAGGGCCCCCAAACAAATTTTTATACGGGGCCCCACCAAGATACGCTACGCCACTGACCTAGGTATCAGTCGAGTGCCACATTGTGGCTAAGCGAGGTAATTAAATATGTACTTCATTAGTCTTGGATCTATTAATGAACAATAGCATCTGCATCTGTTTCATTATACGGTAATTGCTATTTGAGAAATGATTTTTCTAGAGCGTCTACTACATCGTATTACTCGTAAATCGGGCAGTGGAAACCGAAATGTAACATTCGCAGTTTTCCATCACTACTTAGATAATATACTTTTTCGTATCGTAGGAAATTGATCGCAACTAACGTGATTCTTCTTGTGTTTTTTCCCTGATTTATTGGAAATCGTCATCTCATACCTTATTCCCAGAAGATTACATCATTTTTCATGCATTCCCTTTATTTTTTGTGGAATTTGAGTGTAAAGACACAAAGACCACATTTTGTGCACTATAATATTTTTAATGAACAAATACCTAGTGTTACGTACGTAAGTGTGGTAGAGCCATGCTTCGGCACGAATGGGCCGGCTCGACCGGAGTGATACCACGGCCTTACAGAAAACCGGCGTGAAATAACGCTTGCGTAGTGTTTCGTCGTGTGAGTGAGGATAACGGAATATACCTATATAATATACCATAACCTCTGTCAAACATAGAGGTGTTTTATGGTATAAGGCGGTTAGAGTATTTGACTACAAAATTTTCAAAGACTGACATAATATTCTAAGAAGACGAACATGCAATGGAAGAAAAGATACTTCCTCCTTCCATAAAATGTATTCTAGAAAGAATTACTTACTGGTAAGTCGGGTCTCTGTGCATTTCATTTCCATAGATAGTCTTCAGTTCCTCATAGACTTTCTCTTGGACATCTCTGCGTTTAGAGAGACAATGGAGTGTGTATACAATGCCCGAAGTTGTTGTGTCATGGCCCTGTGGAAAATTTAGGTTTTATCATTTAAACAACTATAGGTCTTATATAAAATTCATAGTTATGTCATTGCTAAGTTCAATAAGATTAAGATCCTAAGCATCATCATCATTTAAAAAAAGTTATAAGCCCATTTGACAACGCGAAATTACATTTTTTATTTCCAAAATAAATTGTATTAAAAATGTGCAAAAATTACTCAAAGTGATACTAATATACTCATACTAAAATAGTACCTAATAAGACGACAAGTGCAGCATAATATCCAAACAATGATGTATCAGTAACTATAAAACTTTTCTTTTTTAAAAATTTGTTATGAACAAGCCTCTTGGGTTAAAGTATCTGATAAATATCTTACCTCAAACATGAATGTGTCGACCTCTTCTCTCACGCTCTCGTCATCAATCTTTTTGCCATCAATTTCAGCGAGCAGCAACAAGTCCAAGAACGCATGCTTGTTCTTTATGCCTGGCAAATAAAACCAAATTAAATAGAAGACGATATATTTATAATCTAGACAGTAATCTTAGTACAAGTAAAAACATTATCTTCTTGATAAAGTTGAACCTATTTTTTTTCATCACCAAAATAATTATAGTCTACACTTTGACTTAGTCTAATTAGATTAACTGTAATTCTCAATTTTATAAGAAAAAAAAATCAAATCTTTCAACCTAACAAAATATCTATCAAAATTCTCTTCATCATCAAAATCCTTACCAATATCATTATTGTCAGGAAGAGCAGTTATTTTTGCCTTCTTCAGTTCCTGTCTCCTTGCTTCAATTACTTTGTTTGTCTGTCCATGTAATACTTTCAATGCTTTATCTTGTCTTGTCTTGTACGGCAGCAGATTAAATATGGCGTCTTCACCGAAGAATGGTATTTGCATCCTCATTGTTACTATTGCTGACAATCTAAAAACAATTACGATCTGATGTTATTATGTTGGTAATCTTCAGGTAGAAGCATGAAATTATAAGTCACGTAAGTTAAGAATAATGAATTTACATGTGAATAGATGAAATGGGATCGAGAGGCGATGGTGATAGCAGGAAGAAATTGACACAGAGGGAAGTGGAAAGTGTATAAGGTGTAGGTTATTAGGCACTGAACATCCATTAGGACTGTCTTGACTTATTTCAATAAAACAAATAGATGAAAATTAAAAAAGATCGAATTTCGGAAAAACCAAGTAAATTTAAAGAATTAATTCGAAGGAAAACACGAGATAGATACTGTTGAGAAATATGAAACAAATAAACATACTGAATGAACCCCAAAAAACAAGATGGATTAACTTTAAATAAAATATTTGTCATAAAATAATGTTTGATACGTATATCGAATTTGAAAATTATAGAGGTACTCCATCTTCTTTGATTTATATTGCTTAATCCGTTCAAAGATTTATGCGGTTATTCTGATTACTAATATGTATAGGTGTGATGTCATGCTTTTTTTGTCTAAAGCAATGTCTGCCTAATTTATTACTATAATCTCTGTTTAATAATTCACTTGTATTTTAAATGTTTAACAAAATAAATTATTATTGTCCTTTAGCACTTTAAACATACTCGCACTTAAGCTATAAAACTTATGAATAACCAGAATTCGATGTCTATTCAATGTACTTACTCTTCAATGGACTTCACATATTCAGACTGGCTATCTTTTTGGGTTTCCATGCAGACGCCCATAATGGATTCTACAATAAAAATATCTCACTTTATTACTGGCCAACAATAATTTTGGGCCGACATTAACACTAAATCTAAATTTAAACTTTTATACAATCAATAAAACATTACCTGTGACATTATCAAGGGCAGCCAAAGCAATTATAGGGAACATGTCAATCGGGCGGCCGTCGGCAAGACCTCGCAGCTTCTCCGTCAGTACGCGCTGGTTCTTGCAGAATACGGGGAGGAAGTTCTGCAGGATATTGAAGTGGAATGCCGGAGTCAAGAACTTGCGATGGGTCTTCCATCTTTGACCTATAAGAAGATAAAATTGTTTGAAGATAGTTGGTGCCATTATTGAGAGTAACAGCAACTATGATTACTCTTCGGTTCTTTGTCAAATGTGTAGTCCCTTAGTGGGTTTTTGTACACCCCCAAGTGCTGTCGTCATACAGCCTGGTGACATATTGTATTTTTATCAAAAATAACATAATTTTAGTTCATACATACCTGTGGAAGTGAGTAAGCCTTGACCAAGCCAGCATGTCAGGAAGCTGTAGGACCTGCCTTTTGTTATATGCTCTATGCTTGAGACTAATTCCTGGAACAAATACACTCATTGGAATCATCAAATTATTATAAAACTCTTGAAGATTATCGGCTCCTTGCTTCGGTGCCTTTTGGGTGTTCTTCATCGTAAATTTTAACTTACAGGATACGTATCTCATACGGATTCATATGGAAACTTGACTATTCTTATAATTGATACAAGTACGGAAACAAAAAAAACGGGTTTATTTATGCATATTTTTAAGGGAGGAAATTCATCGAATGACTGCTCCCGCCTGGGTGAGGCGGGAGGGAGTGTCAGACTCTTACTGACTAAAAACCACCCCGTTTCTACTCCAGCACTTCGAGCCGGAACCCCGGCAACCCGTTAGGTTCTCTGCGGCAAAAGAACAACATCAATGCTGAGATCGAGCCTACGACCCGTCATCGTTTATCTCATGCCATAACCATTGCGCCACGCTTGCATTGCAACTAAAAAGAACAGCATCCTAGCTGCGATCGAACCTGCGACCCGTCATCGTTTATCTCATGCGATAACCATTGCGCCACGCTTGCAACTAATTTATTTATGCATAGGTATGTATTTACGTAATATTTAGCAACAGTTCTTACCCATAATTATATTAAAGAAACTTGATTTCCTTGTTTTTTTTGCCCTTTACTGTAGTTAAGTAGATAAGTCAGTATACAATCAAAACACGGCTTTTCTCTAAGGACTTTAATGTTAGGAATATTTAGAAACAACTTAATAAAATCTTCACGAATGACTAGTACACGACGCATGCAAAAGGACTAGAGACATTACGTAATTGATTAAGTACTTTAAGGTAATGTATTTAAAACTATAATCGACCTTCAAGCAACAGGTTATTTCGAACTAAAGAATGTTGAAGGTAAAACCTGTTAAACTGTTATGTTTTTGTTTGTTTTATAAAAATTTGAGAAAAACCTTATTAGATTGCTGGTATGGTATTACAGGGTTTTTTAAAAAAAATCTCAGTAGTAGCACGGAGTCTGGAATTGTGCCCGGTACCTATATAGCAATAGACTCACCCTCTATTACATGGGACTCATAACATAAATAGTGAAAAGTGGGTGTTATATTGTACAGCGGCATAATGTGCACCTCTGCCTACCCCTTTGAGGATAAAAGGCGTGATGTTATGTTATGTGCCTTATTAGTTTAATAAGGAAATATCGGTTTTTGTGTATCTGGTTCCTCAGTAATTAGAGATCGCAGTTAGTTCAAAAGCATCTAGTTTATCAGAGAGCTGCTCGATCTCTGTCAAATGTGTAGTTCCTTAGTCGGATTTTACGGCACCGGTGGGAACAATGTGTGTGTGTGTGTGTGTGTATCACAAGACATTAACATAACATAACATCACGCCTTTTATCCCCGAAGGGGTAGGCAGAGGTGCACATTACGGCACTTAATGCCACTGCACAATGTAACACCCACTATTCGCTATATATGTTATGAGTCCCATGTAATAGGGGGTGCATATATCGGGCACATTTCCAGACTCCGTGCTACTACGGAGATTTTGAAAAAACCCAGTAATACTTTCCCCGACCCGGGAATCGAACCCGAGACCCCTTGCCCAGCTGTCGCACTGTCATTGGCCGATATCACAAGACATGCGATTAAAATATAATACTATAAATAAATAACGTCATACTAGATACTGCTGTAGCTGTATTATAAATTATATTATTTATTTATATACCTTAATATAATTACGGAAAATCAGTTTGTAATTGGATGATTATGGTTTTTAATTATATTTATGACTTGACACTGAGGTTATTCAGTTGTTACTCTAATTTTAAACCCATTACATTGAATACTGCACTTAAATCACAATGAGATTGCATTGCGTTGCGTCTGTCAGAAGCAATTATTTCTCTCGTAATGAACTGCAATAATAAACAATGGAGTATTTTTCACATTTATTTTTAGTTTAGTTTTTTCAATTGTCTGTACAAAATAGAAAATGGCCCCGTGGGACTATCATAAATCTTTTTTGTATGAAATTTTTATTTATATTTATTATATTTTTTTTTATATATGGAATAGGAGCTGATGGAAGTGTGCCCGGTATATGGCAATAGGTTCACCCCCTATTACATGGGACTCATAACATAAATAGTGAAAAGTGGGTGTTACATTGTACAGGGGCATTTAGTGCCGTAATGTGCACCTCTGCCTACCCCTTCGGGGATGTTATGTTATGTTATGTCGTTATGTTATGTTGGAATAGGAGCCAAACGAGCAGAACACCTGAAAGTAAGCGATCAGTGCCGCCCATTGACACCTGCAACACCAGACAATCTTTATCTTTTTTCTAACCTAACGGGTAACTGGGGCTCCGGCTCGACGTGCAGGAGAAGGAACGGGGTGGTTTTTAGTCAGTAAGAGTCTGACACTCCCTCCTGCCTCACCCAGACGGGAGCAGTCATAAGATGATTTTCCCCCCTTAAAAAAAATCCTTTTACTATCGCAATAAATAAGGAATTAACATTTCGGAGTCTGGAAATGTGTCCAGTATATGGCAATAGGCTCACCCCCTATTACATGGGACTCATAACATAAATAGTGAAAAGTGAGTGTTACTTCTGTGTGCACCTCTGCCTACCCCATCGGGAATAAAAGGCGTGATGTAATGTTATTACGTAAATACTTTAAGATATCTTCGAAAAACTGAAGAAAAGGAATAATACTTTTCGATTTTGGAATCAAAACCAGAATAACTTGTGCTATTAGAAAAAAACAACTTTTTACAACCTCAAAGATAAATAGTATAAACAGAGGTCATAGTGTCTATAAATTCCGGTAGATTCTGGTTTGAAGCGAGTTTTTAATAAGCAGAAACGTTTTCTTTAAATCAAAAAAGGTATAAACTTAATTTTTTTTGTTTCAAAATTAATTATACCTGTTCAATACATTATTTATTATGTTTTATCCTGTAATGTAATAAATTCAAGTGTGGGAGAGCCATGCTTCGGCACCATGGGCCGGCTCGACCGGAGTGATACCACAGCCTCACAGAAAACCGGCGTGAAGCAACGCTTGCGTTGTGTTTCGGCGTTTGAGTTAGTTTACCGGAGGCCCAATTACCCCCTCCCCCTCCCCAATCTCATCAATCCCTGAATCCCCAACGACCCTCAAACTCCTAATCCCCAAAAGGCGGGTAACGCATTTTTAACGCCTCTGTTGTTCCAGGTGTCCATGGACGACGTCGATTGCTTACCATCAGTTAATCCGCAAAAATGTTTTCCAATATATGCCAAAAAAAATGTTTCTATTGCTTCAATAATGAATAAGATCTCATTTCAACTACATTATATATCTATATGTATATCTTTTTTTTTTAAGGGGGGAAAATCATCGAATTACTGCTCCCGCCTGGGTGAGGCGGAAGGGAGTGTCAGACTCTTATTGACTAAAAACCACCCCGTTCCTTCTCCTGCACGTCGAGCCGGAGCCCCGGTTACCCGTTAGGTTCTCCGCGACATCTATATGTACATCTACGTCTTATCTTAAGTTTAAAATAGTATCTTTATTTTGTATCAATATCCAAATGATTGTGCTTAGATTGCCTTCAAATTATTTTACTTCTGCTATGTCCTTCTTGCAAACTTTATTGTTCTAGGTCAGCAGGAAGTTATCTCCTAATTTGCCTGTCAGTGCCAAATATTGCTTAGAAAAGGTCATATTTTTTATTATAGTTATAGTGGCTTATGTGCCTAATAATGTATGATAACCTCGTTAATTGAATTGTGTATTTTTTTATACTTGATAGTTTGGCGTGGCGTCTAGCCACCATCTCGCCTGTTGGTAAGCGACAATGTGGCCGGTAGTGGAGCACGCCTACCTATGAGCAACCTGTTCACAAGGGAGTTGAGTTCACTACACTTTTCTTGTGAGGGGGATATTCATCCTATGGTAGCTCCCGCCTTAGTTCTGACTCTGTCACCTAAACCAAGGTGGGAGCCATTGCATGAATTACCCCTCAAAAAAAAATTTAAGAAATATTCGTTAAAAATCCTTACTAATAATATTATAAATCGGAAAGTGAGTTTGTTTGTTTGTTTGTTTGTTCCGCTTTCACACCGTTACTACTAAATCGATTGCTCTGAAGTTTTGCAGACGTGAAGTCAGAATTAAATAATAGGGTACTTTTTATCCCGGAAAAAATTTGATATACCCGAGGGAAAACAAAAGTATTGGTATAGATGGAGCTGTGTGTATTGGTATATTATTATGTCACGGGCTACTTTTTTTCCTTTTGTGACGCGAGCGAAGCCGCAGGTAAAAGCTATTGAATAAATAATTTAAACAATAAATTACATGAGTTATAATGTGCAGTACTCACCTCAGCCTGCTTTGCATGGCAGATCACCACGTATGGCGTCGAGAAAAAATGTACCCGGAACACTTTGCCATACTTTTCCGATAGTCTTTGAACCAAGTTCAAGAACTCTGCAACAAAAACGAATAGGTACCTGTTAATCAACAATTACTTAAGTAATTAGTTTCAGGTTTTTTTAATTATAAAGTTAATGCATCATTAATTTTGTTTATTGCTAAAAAAATACATCGTGTTTAAAAAAAAGATTTATAAATGCAAAAGACGTCATTTGATTAATTATTTCGTATTTTCGACAGTTTTTTATTAACACTAATGTCTCCTTTTTTTTAAGGGGGGATAATCATCGAATGACTGCTCCCGCCTGGGTGAGGCGGAAGGGAGTGTCAGACTCTTACTGACTAAAAACCACCCCGTTCCTTCTCCTGCACGTCGAGCCGGAGCCCCGGTTACCCGTTAGGTTCTCCGCGACTCCGAATCGGCATCGACCCTATTGAGCCCCATCTGTGGTGGTCTGATGGCTCTTTGATGCGCGCGCGGAACGCGACGCGCGAACGAACGCGTACGCTCGGGTCTGTTTGTGGTCGGACGGGGAGCCACCCATGCTCGCCGTCCGCAGTCCCGCGCTTACGGTGGCCGGAGATCGTCCCGCGATCCCCGACGCCCGATGTGTCCTTCGCGATGGCTGGGTTGCGAGGAGGCAGCGCTTCGCTGCCTCACGCGTCCCGCCTCCTCCTTAGCTAGCGTGACTGTTTCGCAAAAGGAGGAGACGGCATCCCAGTCCCCCTCGCTCCGCATCATGGCCTGCACTAGGCCCAGACGCGAGAGGTCGCCATCGCCGATCACTTCCCTCAGGGCACGGCAGTGCTCAGCCCACGCAGGGCATTCCGCTACGGTGTGTTCCACCGTGTCCTCAGGGCGGTCCTCGCAGTGATGACACCCGGGCGTTTCCTCCCGCCCCATCAGACACAGGTACCTCCCGAAACTTCCATGTCCGGTGAGGACCTGCGTCAGGCGGTAGGTGAGGACGCCGTAGCGTCTCTCAAGCCACTCCTCAAAGAGGGGTCTTACCGCTGCAATGGCAGCGAGCCCAACTAATGTCTCCTTAGACTTCAAAATATATGAGAAATAAATGAATGGAATGGTCATGAGATTTTAACGGACTTCAACAAAGAATGAGGTTCTTTGTTTACTGTATGTATCTACGTATGTTCGTGCGCGATTGGGTGAACCGATTTTGATTAATTAATGAACTTCCAAAAAAAAGAGGGGAGAGAAATATTTATTAAAAGAATTATCACCTTCACAGTACATTTAGGGATTCATTATTATTTACATATAGATTTAAGAACATTTAATAAATTCCTTCATCTAACCAGTACATTGCATTCTAGAAAATATGATTGACTGTATGTAGTCTCACCTTTACCTATAATAACGATACCTATTCAGCGAAAAGCAGTCATACTATGCATATTTGTTTAAAGAATAACAAACGTATTGTACTCAAAATATGGTTTCTTTTACTAACTAACTATCTTACAGATACCTATTGATCACAATTAATAGGGGGCTAGATAATACAATTACGTATACTATGCACCGTTATAAAGTGTAATAATCATAATAAATAAAGCGTAATCTTGGTAATGATGTAATGATTTTCATATCATTTAGATTAATCTATAGACACCTACATAATAATATGGTCTAAAGTTCATTAGGTATTATAGAGGTAGATAAATCTGTCCAAAAACCGATAAAGTAAATATTACGTTAAAAATGGAATTGTCTAGTCATTACGACCAATCAATTTTTTTTAAACATGTAAATATTTACTGATATGCATCGATTTATAAGTACCTAAGTTCATGCCTTTTATACCTCTATAAGTACATAGAATTTGGACAGTCTCACTTTGAATTCAGGATTATTCGTTTTTCATTGCTGTAAGCTGGGAACTAGTAGTTGGAAACGAAGACCTGAAGATCATGTTCATTGGCTGATTAGCACTATTCAGGCCGAAATGTCCAAAGGACAGAAACCGCATACAGAAGCATGTATAAAAAAACAAATTCTTCTTTCTTTTTCTATTAAAGTTAACTAGACTACTTGCGTTCGTCGACCAAGCGTGATAACATATTAGGATTTCACAATTGTACCTAATCTTTAATGTGAAGGGTCATTGTTCTTATATACATTTAAGTGTCTTAAGTGATAACACAGCATCGAGTCTTTTATTGTACGATGAGGCAGATATACAACTATGTATGTAAATACTGATACGTTATATTAAATGCCTGTATGAGCATCCTATAGCTATTTCAAAAATGAATATAGGTATTATACGCAGGCATACTTTTCATAACAATTTCAATAGGGTAGTATCCTAAATTTTATTTGAATGTCCGTCTGGTAGATTGTTTTAGACACGTATTTTTTCTTCACTTACAAAGTTAAATACTTTCGACGATATATTGATTTGAAATATCGTGGGACTTCACGATTTTCTACATTTTTTTAGGGTAGCGTAAGATAGCGCCCTCCTACTCCTCCTAAACTTAACTCCGTTTTATCTAAGTATTGTTTTCTTATACGACAAAATAAAAAATAATATGTGTCTAATACTTTTTCATTATCTGACGGAAATATTACATTTTTAATTTTCATACACTGTCTACTGCCCTATTGAAGAATTTACATAGAGTAGGTCAAAGCCTTCCCCTAAGAAGGTTGGGGTGGGCCTTAGCTAGCTGGTGTCCCTTAGATACTAATAATAATAATAGTCGCCGGTTTGTGTGTCCATTACATTTATATTAAAGTTGTCTAAAGGGCCTCTGCGCAGTTGGCTTCGGCCCCTCGTACGCCTCCCAAATGACCGGGACCCTGTGGTCCCGTGAATGGTAAAGACATACAATAATAATAATATGCCCGCAGGGCACCTTGAGGCGAGGTGACGGGCATTAGCGATCCCGCGGGCTACCATCATCCCGAGTGCTCCAGGGAGAAGTCACCGTTCCTTCTTCTCCGGCTTGCCTTAATTGGCTGGCTGGAGTGAAAGATGACAAGGAACAGGTCTCCCACTTCTGGCTTGCCTTCATTGGCCGTCCAGAGTGGAGTCGCGAGAGCAGTGATCCTGCTCGGAGGGTAAGAAACTATTCGTAAGTCGCGAGTGGGCCAGGGATGCAGGAGGCTTCGGCTGGAGCAGATGATCTGAGTAGAAAGCGGTGGTAGTTTCTTAACCCTTCAGCCACTCACATTCTCGTTGCCCCTCTGTTGCTATATCTAGCAACCATTTCCGGGGCCCGGTCGGTGAGTTGGCGAGTCTCCGCCTGCCATTCTTACGTGTAATAATTACATTGTTTCGGCAGGTGCCATAGTCATTCATAGTTCCCAATTTACCAGTCCACAGCAACCCATCCATAGCCCTACCTTTTTTTTCCATTATTCACAATAGTCCTACACTAACCGGGGACTGTCCTTGGGTGCATTTCCATAGTGCATACAGGGATAGTCGCCGGTTTGTGTGTCCATTACATTTATATTAAAGTTGTCTAAAGGGCCTCTGCGCAGTTGGCTTCGGCCCCTCGTACGCTTTCCAAATGACCGGGACCCTGTGGTCCCGTGAATGGTAAAGACATACAATATCCTTATTAATATTCTTGACCTAATGATTGAATATCATTTACGTTTATTGCAAAACTGGTTTACCGTGAACAGTTTAACCGCAATAATTTTGCAATGAACTAAATACTCCACATTTGCTCACATTTGTACTAATTCCACAATTGTGCTCAGTGTACATAATTTCGTATTATATGATTTTCTAAATTTTTGAAGTGTTGAACGTATACTCCTTTCACATGTTGACAGGATGATGGGAGGTGACCTTACCTAATTATCGTTAGATGTCTCGTGGACAAATATAACACGAAGGTTACGAAAGGTCACGAGTAAGTATTTAGATATAATCTACATTATTAATAAAATTGTAAATTGTCCAGGTAAAAGGTCCAGGACACAACAAAATTGTAATACATTATAAAATACTCATTGTTCTTATTCTTATATTATGAGAAAACACAGAAAAAAAAGAAGAGGTAAAAAATATTTTAAATTTTTTTTTCTTTTTGGTTTTGTGTTTTCTTATATATAATTTTAATTTATTTTTAAGTTGTAGGTTAATTTTTAAGTTCACAGATATAGATATAAAACTGCAGTGTACATTTTATTTTTTATCTACAATTTGTAGTAATAACTTTAAAACTATACAATGTGAATCTTTTAATGAGTTATTGTTATTTATTTATGTGTTAATTCGGCATAGATTTCCTCATTTATACAGAATTACACTATATAAAATATGAGGGGACTTATCAAGGGAAATATGAGGGGGGGAAGAATCTATAAATAGCAACTGCGTTGAATAACTAACTTACTACCAACTGGTAGTTCGTTAATATGTAAGTAATTAAACAGTTGTTTAATTACTTACATATAAAAATGCCCCTTGAATATGTAAAAGTCTCTAGTAATAAATTAATAGGTGTTTTAGGGGTGAAAATCATCGAATGACTTCTCCCGCCTAAGTGAGACGGGAGGGAGTGGCAGACTCTTATTGAGTGAAAACCACCCCGTTAATACTCCTGCCCTTCGAGCCGGAGCCCGAGCAACCCGTTAAGTCCTCCGCTGCTCCGTAAATTAGTAGATGTACTTAACGATTGTCATATATATTTTTCAGGATGTTATCAGGAACCTAACTAATTTGTACTTAGATAGCAATTTTTATCAAATCCTACTATCCCTAATCTTCCATATTGATATCGCATCCGTATTCCGTATAATATAATATAATGTAATAATATTATATTATATATAAATATAAAATAATATAATCGTATCTACAACAGCTAAAAAAACAGACCAAAATTAAATTAATATTTGGTAATTTATCAAAATCGAATTAATAAATGTTTTTGTCCATAATTACTATTATTCTTATGGTCCCAATGCGTAAGAAGAACCGCAAAAACAGGTTCCCGGTGCGGATTTTTGGAAACAACAGGTTTGACTAGTTAACAGGTAGGTAACACGTACGTGTTTCACCTTCTATGTACTAAACGAAACACAAAAAAGGTTTATTGTAGACATTATACAAATTGTAAGATAAGAAATGGTATTTCCTAAAAAATCTCTTATTTCTGAAATAAAAAGGACCTACCAATGAGTAGAGTACCACCTATTTACCCACAAAGAGTTTGATGTTCCAGATCCAGTAAAAAAATAGTTTTTCAGTGAGATGTGTCAATTTCAGGTCGGTGATTTTTCGATATTTGTGAAAATGTGTTATAATTTTGTTGTTACCGTACACTTTCGCTAAACATACATGTATGTATATTGGGTAGGTAGGTCACTACCTACCTACATAAACAACCTGACAGTATGGTGCACTATTTACTGGACACCCTGTATTTTATTTTACGACAAAATAAACAGTGAAGACGTGTACTGTATATTTTATTAATAGCTTTAAAGTAAAATGTAATATTTTATAATAATTACAGATGTCATACAAAAATCAAGAATCTTTACTGTTTTGAATTAAGTAAACAAAATATTTTAATCACCACTTACCAGAAGATTTAACTACAAACAAATGTGCATTTCCCACTAAGGGCAGTGGAGATGGCCCGTCTACATTAAACCGGCGACTTTGTCTAACTAAACTAATCCAAGACACCAACAAAGCGAACACTAAAACAACAGATACTAATAACAAAATCATTTTTAACACAACACAAGCACGTGCTATTCAACCTCATGCGATGAGGTTTGTAATCAAAATGCGAGTCAACAAGACATTGCAGGCTGACTAGAACAATATCATCGCGAATATGGAACTAAAAAAAACAAGCGGTCAATGCCGCCATGTGTCAAACGTTTAAAAATGGAATGTTGTTATTTGTACGAAATTACTGGCACAACATATTAAATTGTGTACGTTAATGACTGTTCTTTGTAAATGTTTTTAATGTTTTACACATTTAATATTATTAATGATTCATAGTTTAAATTAGTTTCAAAATTATGTTCTGCTCTACTAAATCGTTCCCTCAATAATTTACACAGGTACTATTAAATTGGTTTTGTTGTTTGTTGCCTTTTATTAATCTTATTTTAATACGTACGTATTAAATAATAATAGAGTACGTAAAATTTTCTATTGCGATGGAAATTCTTGGCGGACTTCTCACTTCGTGGGGACGACAGGGGAGCGTGGCGGACTTTTACCGACTAAAGCCACCCCGGTGTTCCTCCACTGCCTGTGACCATGACCCGGGTAGCCCGGAATCACCACAACAATGTAATTTCTCTAGTACATTTTAAAATAGTCGTGGTGGCCCGAAAGTTAAGACCCCCGCTTCTCATGAATGAGAGGGCGTGTTCGACCCCTGCCAACGGAAAGTACCAATGTGCCTTTTTCCGAGCTATATGTACTTTATAAGATTATTCAGACACCACTGACAAAAGGTGAAGGAAAAACCATGAGGAAACCTAGACTTATAATTTTAAATTATACATATAGTTTGAAATCACCAACCCGCATTGAGCAAGCGTGGTGATTAATGCTCAAACCTTCTCCGTGCGAAAAGAGGCTTTGCTCAGCAGTGGGCACATAATACCTGTAGATTAAAGAGTCTAAAATATTAATAAAAATAAAAATCGTTAATCGTAACAGTTCAATGTCCAATAATGTGAAAAGGTTATTTATTAATTTGAAAAAGTTCAAAGTTTTATGCCAGTGGGTATTAGGTACCTCTAAACAGGTTCTTGTTTTTGCTAATCGACGTCTTCAATGTCTTAGCCTAAAGTCAGGTAATGACGCAAATTATACCTATACAACATGTAACTTAAATAACGCACATCCTGAAAATAGTTTGTTCAGAATGTGTTTTTTATGTTATGTGTAATTTTTTATCCCAAAAATAATTAAAACTACGGAAATAATTGTCATATTAACCCTGTATTGTTAAAACAAATCGAAATGGACCGTAAGTCAAAGCAATAAGACTTTTAAAATCGGTGTTTTATTTGTATTCATACAAATTCTATCATTCAATAAAAATAAAAAAAATAAACCTTATGACAAGACCAGTAAGGATCATATGTATATGCATGTTAAATTATAAATTTATGATTGTAACATAATATTCTAATTGGGGTGTTTGAGGGTGTGCGTTAATTACGTTACATGTTGTATAGCATATACTATACTGTAAAGTTTTGGATGGTTTGATTGCCAATAACACAAAATAATATTGTTTTATAAACTTTAAAGAACTCGTCTTCAACCCTCTCTTTTTTTTAAGTAAGATAATATCACGCCTTTTTATCCCCGAAGGGGTAAGCAGAGGTACACATTTCGACACTTAATGCCACTGTACAATGTAACGTACCCACTTTTCACTATTTATGTTAAGAGTGCCATGTAATAGTGGGTGAGCCTATTGCCATATACCGGGCACATTTCCAGACTTCGTGCTACTACTGAGATTAATAAAACCCAGTAATACTTTGCCCAACCCGGGTATCTAACCCGAAACCCCTTGCCCGGCAGTCGCACTTGCGACCACTCGGCCAACGAGGCAGTTTTTTTGAAGAATTTAATATACTAAAACCTTTTCCTAAGTGTAATAAACACTTTTCTGAAAACCGCATCATAATCGGTTCAGCCAATCGCTAAATAATCGCGCACAAACATACAAAGATACAAGTCAAACTAAGAACCTCCTTTTTTGAAGTCGGTTAAAAATTGCATATGACTTACTTATAACTAGTAGTGATATTAAGTAAATATCTAGTTTAAGATTAAATTAAAGATTATCTTCTTTGTTGCACCATTAGTTTGTTTGTTTTTCATTGCTAAAAAGGCTACCGCTGAAGTTATATATCAAATGAAAGTACCCATTTCCTTTAAAAAATAAACATTTTATTCCATTAAAAAATAATTGGATAATACTTAACACATAAGGTAAGTACTTAAAAAAATATAATAAATCTAGAGCTTAGAGTAGGTATATCTAGATTTACGTATACATGATTTGTATTGAATCTATCAACCATTCATTTTCTTGACATAAACTTTACTTGGATTCCATTCTTCGATCTCAAAATAAGATCAGCACTTAACTGAGGTGTTTCGTCAACAGGTAATATGTAGAAGTGTTTGATAATCTCCGAGATAGTGATCTTCAGTTCCATCATCGCGAACTTTTGACCTGAGAAATAAGTCAGATGATGTTTTTATAATAACTGTCGTAAGATATACAGAATTAACCAAGAATCGCGGGCTCCTCACGTGAATATCGCCACGACCGCACGCTACTCATGTGGTTCGAAACTAGTAGAGCTTTTCTCAGTATAAACACGTGAGTAACCCGCGATTTTTAGTTAATTAAGTTAGATGATATACTTAAAGATAATGATGTTTTTTTTGCCTCATATTAGAATTATCTCCTGTGTCTTGGGTGCGTTTACAAACATACAATTTCACATACACATCACACCCAGACCAGAAACAACAGTTTGTAGATCACACGAAGAGTTGGTCCGTGCGGGAATCGAACCCGCAACACGGTGCACGGCACCTGCCCAGCCACCGCGGCAACCGTGCAGTCAGTTTTCTAGAAGATGTTTTGTAAATTCGAATTTAATTACCATCCTCATCTAAGATAATATTTTTTTGTTATCATTAGTCTTATAGACTGAGTGAGTTCAATGATAGACTAAGTGATCATCAATCTGGTGCTGAATTATCATAGGGATTTCAAGCTCTATCTACGAATCGAGTGAAGTTAACGGGGATTTGTACATACATACATACATACTTACTTCACGCCTGTCTCCCATGGGAATTGTAATTTTTAAAACTAAGTTATAAGCATGAACCAGCTATATTCAAGCCATCTACCAGTTGGATTCATAACATAAGCGAAGAGTGTATATGACTATAGATCACCGTCTGAGGCATCCGATAAAGGCACCGTCTCTAAATCCATCTCTATTTAGAGACAGTGTGATTAGTTTAGAGGAAACTGCTACCCATTTTTTTATTTCTCAGTTTTAGGACGCCCTTGATAAATCTTAGACATCGTATAAAACGATGATCACAATTAACTTACCAATACAATTCCTAGGACCAGCGCTGAATGCCAGAAAACTGAAGGGATTCTTTAGAGGCTCCTCGAATCTTTCGGGACGAAACTCCAAAGGATCTTCAAACATGTCAGGTTGACGTTGAATCTGGTATATATTTAGGACGACAGATGTGCCTTTCACTAATTTGAGACCTCCGACCTCTGTAAAAAAATATCTGGTTAAATTATGTTATTTTTCTAATGTACTTACCTATAATTTTATAAACATACTAGCTGACCCGGCAAACGTTGTTTTGCCATATAAACAATTTCGTAGAAGGGTGAAAATTGAGGATTGTATGTATTTTTGTATTTTGTATCATAAAAAAATTGATTTTAAAATTTTTGTCGAAAAAATAAAAATTTAGGGGTGGACTACCCCTAACATTTAGGGGTATGAAAAATAGATGTTGGTCGATTCTAATAGATACCGGATAAGCACAAAAAATTTAATCAAAATCGTTCAAGCAGTTTCGGAGGAGTATGGCAACGAAAACTGTGACACGAGAATTTTATATATACGATTGTTTTGACTGTAGTAATTTTAGATAAGGGCAAAACGAAGAGAAGCGTCATAAGTAAATAAGAATGCCTGTGTTGATTTGTTTGGATATTTACTTCAATGGATACAGATAAACTAAGCAACTCATTATCTTGCGACTGTCTCGATGGCCGAGTGGTCGCAAGTGCGACTGCCAGGCAAGGGTTCTCGGGTTCGATTCCCGGGTCGGACAAAGAAATACTGGGTTTTAAAAAAAAAACTCAGTAGTAGCACGGAGTCTGGAAATGTGCCCAGTATATGGCAATAGGCTCACCCCCTATTCCATGGGACTCATAACATAAATAGTGAAAAGTGGGTGTTACTTCTGTGTGCACCTCTGCCTACCCCTTCGGGGATAAAAGGCGTGATGTTATGTTATCTTGCGAACCATATTTAATAAAATTATTATTGAAAATCACCATGTTTATCATCATTTATTGAGATCTTGAAAAAGGTTTAATAACTTTACTGTCCATGTTTTTCGGCTTACTTACCGCAGTCCTTTGTAATTCTTCGTTCAATTAGAGGCACAGGCGGGAACAGGCGCATCGACTCTTTAAGAACCAGTTCCAAGTATTTCATTTGTCCAAGTTCCCTATAAGAGTGAAAAAATAAGTATTATTGTGGTTCAAGGGTAAAAGAATAGGATCGGACTTAGGGAACACCAATAACAAGAACAATATTCTAGTATTGATACTAGTCACTGTTTTTGTTGCAAAAAAACATGTTACAACAGAAATAAATTGGAAAAAAGACTGACTGAAAAATACTATTCATATATGTACCTTACAAAAATCTCTTAAGAATTAAAATGTAATAATAAATGTAAAATATGCGTAATGATTTGTTAAACACTCATTTCGACTAACTAACCGAATATTTAGTTTTTTTTATATATATCGGCATTAAGTAATAATATTGAATTAGCAGAGGTTTCTCTGATTCGATTCCCCTCGGTCAGGAAACACGAACCATTGAAAAAAAACTTCGTATGTCAAAACTTATTAGAATAAATTCATACACATTTATCATATTACTTATAAATATATTATATTTTATATAAAATTTGTGTATTGTAAAAACATTTTATGTAAACTGACATAAACAAGTTAGAAAAAATGATAAATATGAACATGAGATTTATTTGTTAATATAATAAACGTATGTTGTGCATATGATTATCACGTCTGCGGTCAAACTTGTAACTTAATCATATATTCAATGTCAATAATGGCTGATTGTTATCATGACTCAACATTTATTGTGTTTATAGATTTTACATGTGGATATAAATTTTGGCATACCCGTTCTCAATAACTATATTGGGGACCTGGGAAAGAACAGTATGAGGTGATGAACCAGTGTTCATCATATCAACAGTTTATAAATGCCCACTGCTGAGCAAAGCCTCTTCTCACATGCAGAAGATTAGAACATTAATCACCACGCTTCCTCAATGCGGGTTGGCGATTTCAAACTTATAATCAGAAATTATAAGCCCAGGTATCCTCACGATGTTTTTACCGTTGGTCAGTGATGTCTAAATAATCTTAGAAAGTACATATAACTCGGAAAACGTCACATGCAAGAAGAAGAAGTCGCTTGCTTCTCATGCACGAGGGTGCGGGTTTGAAACCTACCAACGGAAAGTACCAAACTCCGGTCCACTACGACACCACCCGGTTAAAAAGATGCAATCGATGTTCTCTTTCCCATTTACTTCTCAATAAACCCTTTACAAGGAACTAAATCTTTCATTACCGCCACCTATAGTTTTGTCCTGTCATCCTGTCGTTTATTATACGGTTACATAACACGGTCCGTAGCAGATTTTTTTTTAAGGGGGGAAAGTCATCGAATGGCTGCCCTCGCCTGGGTGAGGCAGGAGGAAGTGTCAGACTCTTACTAACTAAAAACCACCCCGTTCCTTCTCCTGCACGTCGAGCCGGAGCCCCGGTAACCCGTTAGGTTCTCCGCGACGTCCGTAGCAGATAGAGAAGTTTTTCTAAACTGAACTTAAACTTACTGGTAAGTCGGGTCTCTTTCCATGTCATTCCCAAAAATAGTCTTCAGCTCTTCGTATACCTTCTCCTGCACATCTCTGCGCTTAGAGAGACAGTAGAGTGTGTATGAAATACCCGAAGTCGTTGTATCGTGACCCTGTAATGTATTAATTTAAATATTATTTACAATGTGAGTAAGAAATAGATGAAAGAAAGAAAGAGAGAGAGAGAGAAAGAAAGAGAGAAAGAAAGAAAAAAACATTTATTTGACAAATAAGCACACAAATACAAAGACTGCCAGTACCAGTTGTGCCATTCTAGAAAGTCACTTGCCTAAAGATAAATTCTTTCAAATAAGCAGTCAGCTTGAATCTTTACAGAGTCATTCATCTACATCAGTAAATAAAAATATGTGAGATTTTTCAAAATTGTTTTCTGTGTGTTACTTTAAGAGCTACTGTACGAAACTGACCTCAAACATGAATGTGTCGACCTCTTCTCTCACGCTCTCGTCATCAATCTTCTTACCATCGATTTCACCAAGCAGCAATAAGTCCAAGAACGCATGCTTGTTCCTTATTCCTGTAAATAAAGAAATATAATATTTGTATTATAATCTAAAGTCAAATTCTATTCAATTGTATCCGTGTGTCGTAAGGAAAAGCATCACATGAAAACTAACAAAGTTTAAAATTTAAAGTTGATAGGAGAGGAAGAAAAGAAACTCTATACTATAGTTATTCTTTTAAAAACATAACATAAAATAACATAACATCACGCCTTTTAACCCCGAAGGGGTAGGCAGAGGTGCACATTACTACACTTAATGCCGCTGTACAATGTAAAATCCACTTTTCACTATTTATGTTAGAAGCCGCATGTATTAGATGGTAAACCTATTGCCATATACCGCCAGACTCTGAGATTTTTTTTAAAACCTTTTTTAAAATACTTTGCTCGACCCCGAAATCGAACCGTTGAGTAGCAGTCGCAATTGCAATCTCAATGCCAACGAGCCAGTCTTATAAAAATTAAAGTCATAGTAGTTCATGGTACCTAAGACTTACCGGAATCGTTGCTATTGTTAAGAGTAGTAATGTTAGCCTTTTTCAACTCTTGTCTCCTCGCCTCAATTACTTTAGTACTATGTCCGTGTAATACCTTCAACGCTTTGCTTTGTCTGCTCTTTAACGGTGTTAGATTAAAAATGGCGTCAGGACCAAGAATTGGTATTTGAATCCTCATCGCTAATATTTCTGACATTCTGTAATTAAAATTATTATTCTTATCAAAGACTTTTATAACCATTTTATTTAATAATTTTACGTTTTAATTGGTATTTAATTTTTTTTATTGGTTGTCTTATAAAAGAATTATGAAAAATATGCCACTGATATGCCATATGGACTTCCAACGCTCATGTTGATTTACTGTGCCTGTAATAAGTACTTACTCTTCAATTGACTTCACATAGGCAGACTCGCTTTCATGTCCTTGAGCGTCGACACTGGTGCCCATAATGGATTCTGATAAAAAACAATGGAGTTTTGTTGTTATAACTCGACCATTAATCAAGTTTACAAATATTTTCCGTTTTTATCTAGCTTTACGAGCACATGAGTTATTTCAGATAGGCGTCTCATCATAAGTTTTGACTTTGACTTTTTAGATGCTAGTAGTTAGAAAAACTCATATTTTTAAAAACTGATCACGAACAAACATAAAATGTTACCTGTAACATTATCAAGTGCCGCCAAAGCGACAATAGGGAACATGTCAATCGGGCGGCCGTCGGCGAGTCCTCGCAGCTTCTCCGTCAGTACGCGCTGGTTCTTGCAGAATACGGGGAGGAAGTTCTGCAGGATATTGAAGTGGAACGCGGGAGTCAAGAACTTGCGGTGACTCTTCCATCTTTGACCTTAAAAGTAATGTGTAACCAAAGCTATCTAATCTATTATGGTGATGCTATATTATTGGTGCAAATTCTGCGCCTACTTGGCGTGTTGTGTGCGAGATTTACAATTTTAAAGACTAGAATTATGCTCAATGGCTATCTATATCTAGACACTAGCCAAGCATTAACTACGCCTTACATGTAATGGAAAATACAAAAGACGAATGACAATGAACATACAATGTGCAGTTGTTGATCTCTACATGTCTACGTCATTTCTGTAATCATTTTCAAAATTGCTCAAAATCTGGTTCTGTGCTTACCAGCAGAAGTGAGCAGACCCTGACCAAGCCAACATGTCATCAACCTATAAGGTCCCCCTTTGAAAATAAGTTCCTGGCTCGATGCTATTTCCTGAAATAATAACAACCAAATTATACTTTCAGGAGCCCATAGCACAGGTTATTCTAGTTTGGGTTCCTGACTGCCATCATTGTATTGTCACTTAAATTACGCAAAACCATATGTAGAAGCAGTCTTTCACAAACTTTGTCAATATAAAACTAGTATTAAGGTCTACATCACTATGTAATATGATGGAAAAATAAATAAAATTTATTATTATTATAATTATACTAAATTATCATCATTATTATCATCGGCAACTCGCATATCAAGTCAAAAAAATTCGGTAGTTGTGTATGTGTGTGTAATAAACAGAAAGTTCTAAGTTTCAAAAAGGTCTTTATTACCCAATATAGTTTTAGGTAAAGACATAACATAATGTATATATCCACGTATAAACATAGTTACACTCCTGTGTTTGTATATCCTATGTATACCTGTAATCTGCATCTAGATTCCTAGATAGTTTAAAAATTGTTACTAAAACTGGAATAACAATAATAACGCTAGAGGTTGTTCTGTAGACGAAAAGAAACCGGATTCCTACATTAAACAGTTGGGTTTGTAAGTTTTTTGCAATAGTCTGGTTTTTGACAATAATATTCTTTATTATTTAATTTGCTTGGACATTATTTGAAATTATCATCACCATTTTAAATGCAGAAACAGAGACTAAAAGAACTTAGTCCAGTTATAGCATGGGAGTGGAAAGACTTGGAAGAGTAGGAAGTCCTAGATAATGTATAAAAATGTGTACTTTTTATCACAATCATTCTATCCTGTGTCCCAGTTGCAACTCTCAATGCGACTGCTAGACGCCCGTTCCCATTATACACGCAAACAGTACTGTGTCGACATGATGTTAACTGTTAATCGCCAAATTTAATCAGAGGACTTCACTGCCTCATTGGCCGAGTGGTCGCAAGTGCGACTGCCGGGCAAGGGGTCTCGGGTTCGATTCCCGGGTCGGGCAAAGTATTACTGGGTTTTTAAAAATCTCAGTAGTAGCACGGAGTCTGGAAAAATGTGCCCGGTATATGGCAATAGGCTCACCCCCTATTACATGGGACTCATAACATAAATAGTGAAAAGTGGGTGTTACATTGTACAGTGGCATTAAGTGCCGAAATGTGCACCTCTGCCGCCTACCCCTTCGGGGATAAAGAGGCGTGATGTTATGTTATTGTTATGTTATGTAATCAGAGGAATAACTTTGAATATTTGACAAATTCTTCCATACTAAAAACTGTCAAATATCAATTTAATTCTACAGTGAAGGCTAATCTGTTAATTGAAAAATCGGCATCTAAAATAAACACTATCTCTTACCTGAGCATATTTAGCGTCGCAAACGATCACATAGGGCACGGACAAAAAGTGTACTCTATACGCCTTCCCATATTGTTCAGAATACTTTGCAACTAAGTTCAGGAACTCTGCAATAAAAACATACAAGCAATTATTTAGGTACTTACATTGTAAATAATAATGTTTCCTAACTACATTTTAATAAACTGTTATATGACATCATACTCGTTTTTATTCATAGTTGATTATATGTAGGTACCATCGGATTTAGTACATGAAGTATAGATACATAAAATTTGCTATCGTCTCTGCTGTGAAGTATCAACTATTTACAATAATTTATACGTCTTATACTACTATTTCTTGGATATTTTAAGTGCTTAGAGAGAATATATAGGAATATTCAAGTGTGGGAGAGCCATGCTTTGGCACGAACGGGCCGGCTCGACCGGAGTGATACCACGGCCTCACAGAAAACCGACGTGAAACAACGCTTGCGTTGTGTTTCGTCGTGTGAGTGAGGTTATCGGAGGCCTAATTACCACCTCCCTAGTCTCCCAAATCCCCGAATCCTCTACGATCCTCAAACTCTTAATTTCCAAAAGGCCGGTAACGCACTTGTAACGCCTCTGTTGTTTCGGGTGTCCATGGGCGGCGCTGATTGCTTACCATCAGGTGATCCGTCTGCTCGTTTACCGGCTTATGCTATAAAAAAAAAGTATTTCCTCTAAACTGCCAGCTCAATTTCGATCTTTCAAAGAAGTATTTTCATGATTAAATAAATATTTTTTAAAGATTTAATTGTTATTGATGACACACTATAACAGTACAACCAGCCCAATGTACTCAATAATAGTTACGCCCATTAGCAATACATTTATGTATGTCATCAATAAACTGCTTTTGTAAAATATAATCATTGGCCGGTCAGAGGCATTACGAGCAGACGGTCTAGGATTTACTTAGACCGAGGCTATCAAAGAGAGAGCAATTATAAAATTAAGTAAATATAAAATAGCTTTTACCTGCGGTTCTGTCCGTGTGAATTTAACCAATATCCTATTCCGTAATCCTAATTATTATCCAAAATTATAATTACATGCATTTATTATTCAAAATGTAACTATGGCTTAAAAATGCAACAAAAAAACGTTCGCATTTATGTGATTGGTTAGGATACCTACCTAATAATACCTTCGTTTCATTATTATACCATTTATTTCGCATTAGGCGACACCTAAACTCAGTAGACAATTAGAACAAGGTCCGGACTATTAGTTGATACTGATTAAGTATATTTTTATATGTAGGTATAAAATTTTTATCGCTATTTTTGATAACACCAACTAAAATCTAAGTTTTCAAAACATGAGATTGTAAATGTTACATAAAGAATATGAGCATTTTGTTGATATATAGATAACACTAAATTTATATGTTGTTAAGCAAAATGTCGAGTCATTCGCTCTAAATAAGTACTTGCGTAATATGATAAAAAAAACTTTTTAAAAAAAGTAACGTATGGACTTTCTTGCTCGTTCTTCTCCTAGCTGCGCTGACGGACAGACTGACAGACTATACTAATATTATAAAGCTGAAGAGTTTGTATTTTTGTTTGTTTGTTTGAACGCGCTAATATCCGAAACTACTGATTCGAATTGAATAATTCTTTTTGTGTTGGATAGTCCATTTATCGAGGAAGGCTAAGGCTATAAAACATCTCGCTACGACCAAACAGTCGAGCAGAGCGGGTGAAACCGCGCGCAAGTAGCTAGTTTATTTTATATTTGTTGACGTTTCAAAAGTAAAAAATATGGTTTAATTGAAATAAATGCTTTTGAGTTTGAGTATGAGTTATGCCTTATAAAAGCGTAGCTGCAATACTACGTTTTCTGTAATTCATTAAATCACCTACTCATTTTTAGGTACGAAAGTCTTATATGGGTATACTTGCAAGTTATCCATTTAACATTTCTCACCTATTCGAGACTTCCCGATAGCAAAGGGCACAGTACTTCTAGTACCAAGTCCCAACACATATTACAATATGCAAATGTATTTCTATTTACTCACACTAAGCGTAAACTAGAGACAGACTACATATAATCATTGTATTATATGAATCATATCATATAAAATGATATAGATTCTTTTGAAACCAAAAAACACATATTTTTCTGTGTTTTAACTGCAGTAAAGCAATAGCTACAAATAGGTATATAATATTTCAAATACCTAATATAAAACAAAATAAAACATTTCTTTACTACTTAACTATATTACGATAAAATCCAAAAAGAAGTAAAATAATATCTTACCTGTAGATTTAGAAATGAACATGTGAGCATTACCGATAATAGGTAAGGGCATCGGCCCATTGACATTGAACCGGCGACTCTCTCTAACTAAACTAATCCATGACACTAATAAACCTAACACTAAAATAACAGATACTAAAAACAAAATCATTTTTAAACTACACTAACACCAGTATGCAACCTCATTCGATGAGGTTTGTAATCAAAATGCGAGTCAACAGGACAACGCTAGCCGGTTAGAACGATATACATAATCGTATCGCGAATACGGAACAAAAAAAACAAGCGGTCAATGCCACATGTGTCTAACGTTTAAAAATGGAATGTTGTTATTTGTACCAAATAAAGAACAATCATGATTACAATTTTAAAGTTAAGCTCTGCTCTAATGAATGTTAGGTATATTGTTTTTAATAAATATTTGTTCTATTTATTTTTATTATTAACTGTAGTTATGTATGTTAGTTTTCGTTTTTTTCACAATATGTCTGCTTCTTTCATTCTCCTCTATCAGATGTAATCCGATCAGGACCTCCTTTCTCTTTTAAACAATTTTTCACACAACTATCCATCTTTCCTATGGGTGCTCGCTACTTTTTCATTCTTCTACATCTAATTTATTATGTCAGTATAGCAGTTTATAAAACTTTAAAACGCAACCGTGTAGCTAGTCGCTGCGGTTTACCGCTTTTCCAATTTAATATGCAACCGTATGGCAACCGCGTCTGTCGATACGAACCGCCAGTGCGTAAGGGGGCTTATAGATTTTTATGAACCAAATTAAATTGTATAGTCTGAAGATTCAATTACCAAAATTTAAATTCTCTAAACCTATTCCAAGGTTTGAAACCTATCAAATCTTAAGTATTGACTTTTGAAACTAATAAGAATTTCGTCTCAAGAAATCGTTATCCTATTGATTAAGAAAACCACACGATATATAAAGTTAGACCGAAATGAATACAAGATTTCTGGTCATTTTAGGTACGACTCCTCTAAACAGGTTCTGGTTTTTGGTAGTCTCCGTGGCTAAAGTCTACCTTGTTTGTCTAAAGGTGCTCCCTCAACGGTAGCGTTCACGTGCAATGTAACATTATAGATTCGACTTTGAGCATTACATTACAATAATACCTCCCTGAATAACGAGCATTTGCGTGCAATGTAACATTATAGATTCGATTTAGAGCATTACATTACAATAATACCTCCCTGAATAACGAGCATTTGCGTGTAATGTAACGTATAGATTCGATCATGGCTCTGATTCATTGATCTCTAGTTGATTTAGGTATACCTTATTAGGTTACGATGGGACTGACATACGCTGTGCGTTATAAAAGTCCCTAAAATTAAAAAGAAAAAAAAAATATAGATTCGACTTTGAGCGTTTCATAGCAAGATGTCAGACATTGATGTTAAAAGTTGTATCAAGATATTACACATTGTATCATTACAAGGTGCGCATTGTAATGCTCGGTTCTCCTCCTTCACTGATGAAATGCTCAGATCTGTAACGTTACATTACACGCGAATGCTTCCGGTGAGGGAGCACCTTAAGGCCAGTTAATAAGTAAATCATAATTTGTCAAATTTCCTTTTAACAATTTTCGAATTACGTATCTATTACTCTGCAAATTATATTTATCTTATATCTAATCAATTAATTACATCTTCTACTTTCATGATCCTCTAGTAGAAAAACTTCCTGCCATAATAGGTTTCTGGTTGTGCACTTTCTATCTATTTCTTCTCCTTTTTCAACCTCTAGAGTATATATTACCTTCGGCACTGTATCCCAGCCCAGCTCATTATCATTATAGTCAGTCTTCTTGGGAGATAAGAACTAAAGAGGTCACGCAATATGTTGGCTATTTAGGCCACGCTGTTCTCTTGTTCCGTTAGGTTGTGTGTTGGTATAAAAAAGTTACAGCTAAACGACCTCTAACCCAAAAATATTTTTTAATATTTCTTGAAATGAGAATACTGTCATACTTTACAACATTTTATTAATCAAAATATAAGTTTAGGATTAATAAACACATGATATGATATGAATGCTTACAATTACATGGTACTTAAAAATACTTTAATCTTATCAATTATTATCGATTAATTTTTCGCAAACAATTCATTTTCTTGGCATAAATCTTACATTGACACCATTCTTTGATCTCAAAATGAGGTCAGAACATAACTGGGGCGTTACATCAACAGGTAATATGTGGAAGTGCTTGATAATCTCCGAAATAGTGATCTTCAGTTCCATCATCGCGAACTTTTGACCTGAGAAAGAAATCACATGAGAATTTATTGATGGTCTCAGCGAAAACATCATTATCGTTGGTAGAGGGTCGCATATGTTCAGCAGTCAACATGTCGTGGCGGATTGATAGCTATGGTTTTAGATATAGAGGGTCTTGACTCTGACTCCCATACTAGATTCAACCTTTCATAATAATAATAATAACATCCCTTTATTCCCGAAGGGGTAGGCAGAGATGTACATTATGCCACTGTACAATGTAACACCCACTTTTCACTATTTATGTTATGAGTCCCATGTAATATGGGGTGAGCCTATTGCCACATACCGGGCACAATTCCAGGCTCCGTGCTACTACTGAGAATTTTTTTAAAACCCAGTAATACTTTTCCCGACCTGGGAATTGAACCTGAGACCCCTTGCCCGGCATTCGCACTTGCAACCACTCGGCCAACGAGGCAGTCAACCTTTCGTGTGTCTTAAACGTGGATCCACACGAGACAATGTGTTTTCTATTGTTTCTCATATCGGTGCATTCAAAGTTATTATTATACGAATTTTCAGTAAACCAAAATTTGCTAGTCGCTTCCATTACTGGTGAATACGTCCATGTTAACGGTCTTTCAACTTATCTTGGTTTCTTTTTTATGGGGGAAAGTCATCGAATGACTGCTTCCGCCTGGGTGAGGCGAGAGACAGTCTCAGACTCTTACTGGCTAAAAATCACCCCGTTTCTTCTCCTGCGCTTCGAGCCGGAGCCCCAGTAACCCGTTGGGTTCTCCGCGACTCCGAATCGGCATCAGCCCTGTTGAGACCCATCCGTGGTGGTCTGATGGCTCTTGAAGGCGCGCGCGGAACGCGACACGCCGTACGCAACTTATCTTGGTTAAGATACTGATTACATGCTTACCAATACAATTCCTAGGACCAGCGCTGAATGCCAGAAAACTGAAGGGGTTCTTTAGAGACTCCTCGAATCTTTCGGGACGGAACTCCAAAGGATCTTCAAACATGTCTGGTTGACGTTGAATCTGGTAGATATTTAGAATGACTGATGTATCTTTGACCATTTTTAGGCCTCCGATCTCTGTAATGTAATATAAATACTGTAAAATATCATTGAAAATACACAATAAATGTAAAAATATTACAACAATCGGGAGGGATTAGACCAATTTGACTAATCGGTTTTTGTTATTTTATCAGGAGAAGGTTGATGTAAAATAGAAGCCTCCTAGTAAAGTTGGAAAATAGCTGCTGGGACGGACCTATCGGATATTGATTACGGTTCAGATTACGTACCACAGTCTCTTGTTATTCTTCGCTCAATAAAAGCTACTGGTGGGTACAGCCGCATCGACTCCTTGAGGACCATCTCCAAGTATTTCATTTGACCAAGTTCCCTGTAAGATATATGTATGTACAGAAGTTAATACAGAAGAATAGTAATAAATGGGAATATATTTTCTTACAGATTACATAACATTACTAGTATGTAGAGACGAGTGTTTCTACTCCTATTAATATTTATTTTGACTGCCTCGTTGGCCGAGTGGTCGCAAGTGCGACTGCCGGGCAAGGGGTCTCGGGTTCGATTCCCGGGTCGGGCAAAGTATTACTGGGGTTTTTGAAAAAATCTCAGTTGTAGCTTGGAGTCTGGAATTGTGCCCGGTATATGGCAATAGGCTCACACCCTATTACATGGGACTCATAACATAAACAGTGAAAAGTGGGTGTTACATTGTATAGTGGTATAATGTGCACCTCTGCCTACCCCTTCGGGGATAAAAGGCGTGATGTTATGTTATGTTATGTAATATTTATTTTCTCTTTAGTAAGATATTGTATAGTTATTCAGTATTTAACTCACTGGTACGTTGGGTCTCTGTCCATATTGTCACCGAAAATAGTTTGCAACTCTTCATATATCTTCTCCTGAATATGTCTACGCTGAGACAGACAGTAGAGTGCGTATGATATACCAGAAGTCGTTGTGTCGTGACCCTGTAATATTAAATAATAAATATTAATACCATTAAAACAAAATCTTTATATATATAATTCTTCTGTGAGTGTGTATGTCACTGAACTTCTCTCAAACGACTGGACCGATTTTGATGAAATTTTTTGTGTGTGTTCAAGGGGATCTGGGAATGGTTTAGATTCACAAATCAGCCCGGCAGATGGCGCTGCAGTCGATTTCTAGGTTAGTTATCCTAAACGGTTGAACTAATTTGAATGAATTTTTGTTTATACATTCAAATGGATATGCAGGACAACGTCTGTCGGGTCCGCTAGTAAAATATAATTTTCTGTGTATGTTACTTCGAACAGCTATAACGCATAATGAATTACTAAACTCACTTCAAACATGAATGTGTCGACCTCTTCTCTCACGCTCTCATCGTCAATCTTTTGGCCATCAATTTCACCAAGCAGCAGCAAATCCAAGAACGCATGCTTGTTCCTTATTCCTTTAAATAAATTAAAAACAAAATGGTAATTCTACATAATAAACTTTTGAGGGAAAAAATCGAGTATATAAGAAGAATCGCAAAAACGAAGCTTAATTCTCAATCAATTCCCGCTTAAAATAGCTATAGGTACACGTACAAGAACAAATCCTAGTATTAAGAGTAATGTTTAAAATGGAAACGTGTATTATGAACTAACTAGCTTTTACCCGCGGCTTCGCTCGCGTCACAAAAGGATAAAAGTAGCCTATGTGACATTATACCAATACACACAGCGTCATCTATACCAATTCTTTTGTTTTCCCTCGGGAATATCAAAATTTTCCGGGATAAAATGTACCTTTTTATTTAATCCAGACTTCTAACTTTACGTCTACAAAAATTCAAAACAATCGGTTTAGAAGATACGGCGTGAAAGCGAAACAAACAAATAATCAAACAAACTCACTTTCCCATTTATAATAGTAAGGATGATCCCTGACGCTTACCGACATCGTTACTTGCATTAAGACTGGTTATGTTAGCGTTCTTCAACTGTTGTCTTCTCTCATCAATTACTTTTTTAGTGTGTTGATGTAACACCTTCAATGCTTTCGTTTGAATGCCCTTATACCGGGTTAAATTAAACACGACGTCTGGACCAAGAATTGGAATTTGTATTCTCATGGCTACTATAGATGACATTCTGTAATAATTAAAATTGTTTATTATTTCGTAATTTTAATTTGATATTGAGTTTGATAATTAACTGTGTAATCTCTCTACAGATGTTATCTTTCTACTTACTCTTCAATTGATTTCACATAGGCAGATTCGCTTTCATGTCCTTGAGCGTCGACGCTGATACCCATAATGGATTCTGGGAAAGAAAAAAGTAAAATATCAGCTTGTGTTCATTTGCTCAGAGCTAACAAATGCTGTACTCCATCACTGTAACTGCCTCGGAAAGTGAATAGAACATTAATCACCAGATCTTCTAAGAATCCTATCAACTCATATTTAAGAACAGAGTTACATCTGTGCATTATACTTTCTCTTGCGCATCGTAAGTCATCTATGAAAAACTAAATAAATTCCCAATTCCCAAAAGGCCGGTAACGCACTTGCAACGCCTTGGTGTTTCGAGTGTCCATGGGCGGCGCCGATTGCTTACCATCAGGGTGCTTACTCTTGAAACCAATCTCATTGTCAATGCAATTTCAATTCAATAATATCTCAATAATTATTCAATGTTAAAACTATCTACAACCCTTATCGTAGCTGTTAAAATAGCATTCAGAGTACGGAATATAAAGCCAACTCAAAACCATTTAGTTTATTAAATATCCACGGAATACGGATGCAATGGGTGCTGGTGTCGCAATTCAAGAGTACGAAATTTCACATTACCAATGTCGATCGATCGGAATTGGATTCAAGAGTAAGGCCCCAGGTGATCCGTCTGCTCGTTTACCGGCTTATGCTATAAAAAAAACTACCAAGACTGAAATCGACGAGAACACGTAATTAGTTACTGAAAATGTTACCTGTAACATTATCAAGAGCAGCCAAAGCGACAATAGGGAACATGTCAATTGGGCGGCCGTCGGCGAGTCCTCGCAGCTTCTCCGTCAGCACGCGCTGGTTCTTGCAGAACACGGGGAGGAAGTTTTGCAGGATATTAAAGTGGAACGCGGGAGTCAAGAACCTTCGATGACTCTTCCATCTTTGACCTTGACAAATAAAGAGTAAATTATAGGAAATTCATTAATTATTATTCTTTGTTCTTTGCAATAAAGTTTTTTTCTGTTCTGTATTCACCAAAAGACACATTATCTTCACAAAAAATGGCAACTAAAATTAAAATCCTCTTAAGTTTGAACTCGTGCTAACATTAATATGTCACTCCCTTATTTTTTGAGAATCAATAAATAGGAGAAAAGCGACCTTTAAAAGTTAGGGGGCTTATGTTATGTAGATATTATAATTCAAATCAACCAAATCTATGGAAGTGCGAATGTGCTTACCTCCAGAAGTGAGTAGACCCTGACCAAGCCAACATTCCAGCAGTTTGTAGGGTCCACCTTTGCTGATGTGCTCCTGACTGGATACTATCTCCTGAAATATTTCAAAATTATTCCATTATCATTATCCTCGGAACCATCACCATATTTGTTACAATGGATACAATTTTGTTTGATTATTAATAATAATAAAAAAAAGTATTGTAATAGATTGAACTGTCAATCACCGCGAGGACACCGGTGACCGCAACCTATTGTTCTTTAATTGTGTCTATAATGACGGTACTCAAAGGGTTAAACCACTCACCTGAGCGAATTTAGCATCACAGACGATCACAGTAGGAACCGATAGAAAATGCACACGGAACACTTTACCATACTTTTCCGAATACCGTGTGACCAAGTCTAAGAACTCTGCAACAAAAACACACAAGTAGGTAATGTTACCGGTTTTCAATGACATTTTAATCAACAATTAATTTAATATGGGTAGTAATAAAAGCTCCGACAAAAGAAGAATTATCCTTATTGAAAATATTAAATCTACTGCCTGAAATACTAACTTTCCGACTACTTTACATGAATGTTTATTGCTACAATACTAACCTAACCTAACCTAACATTTTTTTTTAATGGGGTGTGTCCTCATGGACTGCCTCCGCCTGGGGAAAGGCGAATTCTCAGACTAATATTTTTATAGCCTTTTTAGGTACATAACAAAAAGTTGTTCAATTTTAATTTATTAAATAAATAATTCTACATACCTATGTATGTAATAAAAATACTATAATTTAGTTAAAGGTCAATCGATTAATTTGATATGGGTGATATTTTTATTGCTATTTTTATCGCAATATTTGATAAGGCCACTCAAAAATCTAGATCCAATAGAATTGTTATACAGATAATTATTATATTTTTTTAAAAATCATCCGAATAGAACCTCTTTTTTCTTTTTTAAAGTCGGTAACCAGCTATTCCTCTACCATTCTCTATTCCCCCTGAACTATACGATTTTTTATTTCGTGTCTGTCTAGTACGTGTATGTTTATTGTATTGTGTTTGTGCATCTCTACCTTCGGGGACTAAGAAGTATATATTTTCTTTTGGACAGACCTTCTCTTTATACCTTACTAGCTTTTACCCGCGGCTTCGCTCGCGTCACAAAAGGATAAAAAGTAGCCTATGTGACATATACCAATACACATAGCGCCATCTATACCAATACTTTTGTTTTCCCTCGGGAATATCAATTTTTCCGGGATAAAAAGTATCCTATTATTTAATCCGGACTTCTAACTTTACGTCTGCAAAAATTCAATGCAATCGGTTTAGTAGTTACGGCGTGAAAGCGGAACAAACAACCAAAAAATAAATAAACTAACTTTCCGATTTATAATACCTCTATTATAATTATTATTATTATATATTATAGTAAGGATAACAAAGACGACAAAGAACAATCATGCAACTCAGTGCAGTCGTTCAGAAATTATGCACATAGGTATAGTCATGTAGATGTGTATTTGTTTGTGTAGAACTAAAGAATTATATCAATATTATTATACTAATATCTACAATTCTAACCATATATTTCCTAGGACATTTATTACACCTATTTTTAATACCATAGTAATATTGCTATTAATTTAAAGCAATATAAATACGTACCTATTCTACTGGACAGAACGAACAAAGGTGAAAAGAAATGTATAAGTAATGTTTAAATTAAAAACAATGAAAATACAATATTAATTAATTAATTTTTACTAACTATATTATTTAAAAAAAAACTTACCTGTAGATTTAGCCATGAACATGTGAGCATTGCCGATAATAGGTAAGGGCATCGGCCCATTGATATTAAACCGGCGACTCTCTCTAACTAAACTAATCCATGACACTAATAAAACTAACACAAAAATAACAGGTACTAAAAACAAAATCATTTTGGAAACACTGGCACTTTGTAGTATTTTTATTTTAATAATTTTAAGTCATTGACGACCGGTCAGTACGCAGGACTTAAGAAAAGGATATACTTAACGCAACCAGTCTACGCTAAAATTAGTATTGTATGTAAACCAACAATTTGCTTGTCCGACTATTAATATTTGACCAGAAACCTTATTCCTTTGCCAATAAGTACTAAATTGCTCTGATATTTCTCAAGGTCTACTCTTTAAAGAAGTATTTTGCAAGTACATATATGGATGGAAAACGAATAACACGTAGTAAGTAAGACACGTCTTAAATACTGAATGAGCTGTTTTAAATCTAAGTTATATTTATACAAATGATAAGCAATAAATCGATAATGTTTATACCTAATAAAGAGAAGTATATGATATGTTATCTTCTCTTACATAAAAAAGTTTGTATAGGTTATGATATAACATACCTAAGTAACAATTTTGAATCCAATATATTGTTTTGAAAAGTTTCGGTCCAAAAATAGAATTCATCGTACATGAACATCCAAATGGTTTTCAAATTATAGCATAAGTACATTAGACAATAACGTATTAACAATAACATCACGCCTTTTGATCACCGAAAGGATAGGTAGAGGTGTACACTTATACTTAATGCAACATTTTTGTACCCGTTACGTAATTACGTTTCACAAAGTTCGTTATTAAAATATTTCTTTGTTAAGGTACCAAAAATCGAACACGTTGGATATTCGTGATAGTATGAATACAGATGATTTTGCATTTTTTTTTGCATCATTTTTTTGGGGTCTGCTCAAAGTCCAATGTAACATAGGTTCTCAATATGCTATGTCATTGATTGTTAAACATGTTTGAGATAACTCAAACGAATTATATTAACATGTTATGCTTACCGACTTCATTCAAACATTTTATAATGTAAATAAATAAAACATTACCAATATTTGTGATAACGACAAAGTGGAATATATTTAAATTAAGTAAAAACGCGGGTTACTCACGTGAATATACTGAGAAAAGCTCTACTAGTTTCGAACACAGCTGCGCGACGTCGCCGCGACCGCGCACGCTGCTCATGAGGAGGAGCCCCCCTGTGATTCGAAACTAGTAGAGCTTTTCTCAGTATATTCACGTGAGTAACCCGCATTTTTGCTTAATTTAGTATGTCTCACGACAGTTATTATAAAAACATGGAATATATTTGTCACCACACCTCTAGGAGATGTCGAAATTGGGCAACACAGCTCTCTCATGAAGATTAAATTTTTTAAATGCGACGTCCTACGCTATACCATCCCGCCTGCCGTGCGTGAATTTTAAGGCATACACCTCTTATATAGAAAAGGTCCACAATGTGAACTGTGTGGGAGAGCCATGCTTGGGCACGAATGGGCCGGCTCGACCGGAGTGATACCACGGCCTCACAGAAAACCGACGTGAAGCAACGCTTGAGTTGTGTTTGGACGTGTGAGTGAGGTTACCGGAGGCCCAATTACCCTCCCCTTCCCCAATCTCCCCAATTCCTGAATCCCCAACTATCCTCAAACTCCTAATCCCCAAAAGGCCGGCAACGCACTTGTAACGCCTCTGGTGTTTCAGGTATCCATGGGCGACGCCGATTGCTTACCATCAGGTGATCCGTATGCTCGTTTACTGGGTTATGCCATAAAAAAAGTCACGTGTCCATTCGTGATGATGTGCAGTTTTAAATTAACAAAATTTTTGCAACGTATCCCTTTGAAAACCTTTCTCCATATACGTTACTTTATCTGTATTAATAATTACATTATTGTTAACAACAGTTCAATCGAAAATAGTTTCTGGTGTATGATAAGAACTTGCCCCCTACTAAATGGCACTACTGGTTAACAATACGATACGATATCAGTCAGTAAACAGTCTCAGGCGGTCTCACTGTGGGGCAAAGGCCATTTTCATACGGAGACGAAACGAACATTGATCACCACTTAACTACTTAAAGTTATATTTATACAAATGATAAGCAATAAATCGATAATGTTTATACCTAACAAAGAGAAGTATATGATATGTTATCTTCTCTTACATAAAAAAGTTTGTATAGGTTATGATATAACATACCTAAGTAACAATTTTGAATCCAATATATTGTTTTGAAAAGTTTCGGTCCAAAAATAGAATTCATCGTACATGAACGTCAAAATGGTTTTCAAATTATAACATAAGTACATTAGACAATAACGTATTAACAATAACATCACGCCTTTTGATCACCGAAAGAATAATTAGAGGTGTACATAACATAACATAACATAACATCACGCCTTTTTATCCCCGAAGGGGTAGGCAGAGGTGCACATTTCGGCACTTAATGCCACTGTACAATGTAACAGCCACTTTTCACTATTTATGTTATAAGTCCCATGTAATAGGGGGTGAGCCTATTGCCATATACCGGGCACATTTCCAGACTCCGTGCTACTACTGAGATTTTTGAAAAACCCAGTAATACTTTGCCCGACCCGGGAATCGAACCCGAGACCCCTTGCCCGGCAGTCGCACTTGCGACCACTCGGCCAACGAGGCAGTTAGAGGTGTACACTTATACTTAATGCAACATTTTTGTACCTGTTACGTAATTACGTTTCACAAAGTTTGTTATTAATATATTTCTTTGTTAAGGTATCAAAAATCGAACACGTTGGATATTCGTGATAGTATGAATACAGATGATTTTGCATTTTTTTTTGCATCATTTTTTTGGGGTCTGCTCAAAGTCCAATGTAACATAGGTTCTCAATATGCTATGTCATTGATTGTTAAACATGTTTGAGATAACTCAAACGAATTATATTAACATGTTATGCTTACCGACTTCATTCAAACATTTTATAATGTAAATAAATAAAACATTACCAATATTTGTGATAACGACAAAGTGGAATATATTTAAATTAAGTAAAAACGCGGGTTACTCACGTGAATATACTGAGAAAAGCTCGAGTAGTTTCGAACACAGCTGCGCGACGTCGCCGCGACCGCGCACGCTGCTCATGAGGATGAGCCCCCCTGTGGTTCGAAACTAGTAGAGCTTTTCTCAGTATATTCACGTGAGTAACCCGCGTTTTTGCTTAATTTAGTATGTCTCACGACAGTTATTATAAAAACATGGAGTATATTTGTCACCACGCCTCTAGGAGATGTCGAAACTGGGCAACACAGCTCTCTCATGAAGATTACATTTTTTAAATGCGACGTCCTACGCTATACCATCCCGCCTGCCGCGCGTGAATTTTAAGACATACACCTCTTATATAGAAAAGGTCCATAATGTGAACAGTGTGGGAGAGCCATGCTTGGGCACGAATGGGCCGGCTCGACCGGAGTGATACTTGAGTACCAATATATTCTATACTCCTCTATACTCGCTTGAGTTGTGTTTCGTCGTGTGAGTGAGGTTACCGGAGGCCCAATTACCCTCCCCTTCCCCAATCTCCCCAATTCCTGAATCCCCAACGATCCTCAAACTCCTAATCCCCAAAAGGCCGGCAACGCACTTGTAACGCCTCTGGTGTTTCAGGTATCCATGGGCGACGCCGATTGCTTACCATCAGGTGATCCGTATGCTCGTTTACTGGGTTATGCCATAAAAAAAGTCACGTGTCCATTCGTGATGATGTGCAGTTTTAAATTAACAAAATTTTTGCAACGTATCCCTTTGAAAACCTTTCTCCATATACGTTACTTTATCTGTATTAATAATTACATTATTGTTAACAACAGTTCAATCGAAAATAGTTTCTGGTGTATGATAAGAACTTGCCCCCTACTAAATGGCACTACTGGTTAACAATACGATACGATATCAGTCAGTAAACAGTCTCAGGCGGTCTCACTGTGGGGCAAAGGCCATTTTCATACGGAGACGAAACGAACATTGATCACCACTAAACTATTTATAATATTATAATTAAAATATTAATTATAAGTACAAGTTTGTAATAATAAATATTAAATAATAAATAACGTAAAACTTGAAAAGATTAATATTGGGCATTATCAGATTTGAAATGGTTTATTAGATATGTTAGAGAAGCGAGCGACTTGGGACTTAGCCCTCCAAACCATTACGATTTTTTTTATATGTATATATGTGCCGACCACTATCTCGCCTGATGGTAAGCGATGATGCGGTCTACGATGGAGCACGTCGTCCCATAAGCAACCTATGCACTTGGGTCTTGAAGACTCCTTAGCAGTACGCACAAGGAAGTCCTTTTAGAAGTATACCTTTTTATTGGATTTTTGTAAGTTGTATGACTTCGGGAATACCGCCAACACACAGTTCACACTTCACAGGTTGATTGTTTTAAGACAGTGATGTGCTTGATTTGGTTCTACTTTTCAGTTGTTGGAGACGACTGTCTCAGTAAGTATATCTGTCTCAGCCTGTTGCCAAATTCCAGACAGATAGAGACAGATCTCAAGTTATAATTTTAAAAATGTTAACAGTACCTACGCACAAGGAAGCTTGATGCGAAGCGCTTCGTGCGTGTGGGTAGGACATCTATACCTGTATACCAACTTACACCTCATTTATTATTTTAGTAGTATTGAATATCACAGAAATGAGAAAACGCATGTCATGTCTGCATATGATTAATAAGATACATAATTGATAAGATGTTACCTATTAATAATTATCTATAGGTATGGCAATTGTATATCTTGTATATTTTTTGTAATCTAAATCTTGCACTGGTTACTATCCACATATTCCGTATTTGTAACGAGTCTAGTCATTGCATAAGACGCCTTGTTCACACTGTCCATCACATTATAATAATCCAAGTAAACATTGTAGTTATACTATGCGTCAGAAATTATAAAATGTTATGTGTTTCAAAATAAATCAAACTTGACAAACAACTTAACGGGTTACCGGGGCTAGGGAGCCCCGGTAACCCGTTACCGGTACCCGGTAACCCGTTATCTTATTCCTGCTTCGAGCAGGG